ATTAGATATGTATGTAATCGACCGTTAATCTCGCAGCACTTGCAAAAATGCCGGCGGCAGTGGTTCCTTAGAGCCAGAGGACATTGCCTTTGCGATGAATGTCGTTTCGGAGATAGGCCAAGAAATAGTAACAATACTACACAATTAAGGCAACGGCCAGTGTGAAATATCCTATTCCATATAAATATATTTTGGCTGTATAGGTGCGGGCATTGAGTTGTGTAATTGAATTGTGCGTTGCAAGGAATAGGGATAGTGCCGTTATAGGGAATGATTCAGGGTCATTAGTGGTAATTGGATCTTTAGTAGGTTGCATTGCCCAAGGGGGAAAACTTTGTTTCCTGAAACGTATGTATATATGGCTCTGAATCATTAAGAGATTGATTATAGCACAGCACAAATGTTTTCAACTATAAACAGGGGTTTGCTGCGATTTAGGGGATGTAGTAGTGTTCTTAGGGTAGGGAAGTATAAATCCCAGGCCTTAAGTTCGTCTATTCGACAAACGATCTGTTTATATGTTTTAATTGCTGCAACAGCCATTCTAGCATATACCAGACAGAGTATAAAGAGGAACCGCGATCCTTTTGTAAAAGGGTTTATTATTAATATTACGATGATTATAATAATGTTTAATACCTATGAAAATGAGTTTTAAAATACCTAAGTAAGGATTAGGATTCGATAAAAATATGTATAAACTAATCTGATTTTTTGCGATTAAAAAATGTTTAGGAACTTTTTCTGAAAAAAGTAAGGTCAATCCGTTTTAAAATAAAAACGGGCCGTGTCAGTAGGGTGACTAAAGTTTTTAGGAGGGTTTAAATGAGTTTTGTGGAATTTAATTGAGAGTTCATATAATAATAAAATCGGTATTCGCCATTAGGTATAGACAATAGTGTATACCTTTTACAAATCTCGTTTGAAGTGAAAAATTGTATAAAGCACTATTATGATAATAAATAACAGTTTAAACTTTAAGTATCATTGAATTTAATATATTTATATATGTATAATTAACATTCAAATCCCTCGAGCCTTGACCGACAGTTTCAGTTGATGTTTGTTATACTTAGATAATTTATTATTTGACCTAAAGAGTTTTCCCTTAAGGCTTTACATGATAAATGATTATAATGATTAATGATAATGACAATTTTTATCATTAATGTTTTAGGGCGAGTGATCTATTTTAACATTTACCTATGTTAAAATATATTTATTAAATATAACAAATTTATTATTAAAATTGTTTTTAAGACTTATTATTAGAAGAAACATATAATAATCGGTCAATAAATGCACTTACATAAAATCGATAAATTTGTTAAAACATGGAACCAATTTTTCAACTAAAAAATGTGTTTTAAAATTAAAATTTTTCATTTTTCAACTACCTAATTATGTCAACGATTACATCCATTTTTCCTAATCCAGCGCAATATGCGTTGTGCCTTTTGTTTTGATTATTATTAATATACCTACATTTATTTTCAACGTTCTTGGAATATGTTTTAGTTGATTATAATAATGCAATGTATATTTTAAAAGCCGAGAAGAAAGTTTTATGACGAACTCTGTATTAATAGTAAAGACCCAGATTTATAATTACAAAAATATCTTATGAATAAATTATGAGAAATTGGTATACGTTATTATCAGTACTTATTTGTTAAACTTAAAGGAACCAATTTGAATATTTTATCTGAATTATTTAATATTTATCAAATAATTAATCGTGATGTCAATTAATTGCGGGGATTACATATTGCATAACTATTGTGCTAATGATGAAATACATTTAAGGAATATATCTAATCCCTGAATAAACACTAAGACATGTTAACTTTTAAAGAGTAGGACACTATTATAAATTAAAAAAATTGCGGGTAAATAGGTTTGTTTAAGCTGAAAATTTGTAAAAAGTATAAAAAATCTTTCCGCCTTTAAATCTCATTTTTCTAAATTAATTCCTTAGTACTTTCTGTAACAGTTTTTATTACACTGAAAAAAAAAGTCATCGGCCAAGTTTAAATGTAAATAATAAAAGCAAAAAACTGAAAAGGGACGCCATAATATAACATTTGGCTTCTTCAATTTCATGGATAATCTATTCTGTTGTCAATCAGTATTCAAGTATTGCATTTGACTGCTCATGAAGGCGCTCAGCTGACAGCATTGAACGGCATAATACAATATTTATCAGTCAAACTTTTTATCGAAAAACCAAAAAAAAAGAAAAGGTGCGGAAATTACATTTTGACAATTGTACATTTTTAGATAGCTATGTGTGACACAAAATTGACAGTTGAGAGGTATTCGAAAATATTTTAATAACATTGTTAATTACTATGTATACTGATAATAACGACAACAAACAATAAATTAGTTTAGCTATACCAAATTGGTTATGTATATTATTTTACCCATAATATTATGTTGTGCTGTAGCTACAGTCTTGTACGTGTAGAGGCTACAATATTATGTATTAGTTTTAAAAAAATGCGGGTTATTTTTAAAATTTTTTTTTTATAAAAGACCATTTTTTTATTTAGATGTTCTATGAATAAATTTTACACTATATCTACCCATCCGTGTTAAGCTATCTGGCAGATGAAAATTACCCAATACGGTATCATTCCGGGGTTGAAGAGGGGTGACGTGTTAATGTCTCGGCCAGAAAGCATACTATATACAGAGTGATTCATTTAACGTGATACACTCATTTTTTTTAAAAACAATTATTAATTTATAGTTCTTTTTTTTTGACATTTTAATTAGTGTTGTTTAAATTATAAAACAGTATCTTTTTTGGCAAGTTCTAGAATTCTATCAACTTTTGAAGCTTAAATTATTTAATCAGCAAATTGTTCTTAATTTAAACAATTAATTAAACACATCAAACCAATTAATAAACTAAAATAATCAATTAACAAACTACTTAAAATGCAGTTTTTGACATTAAAAAAAACTAAATTTATGCGTTTAAAACTCAACAAGTTCGTCGGTCGTCTTTAAAAAGAAAAACGAGTTGAAAAAACACTTATTGTTATTTAAATTCTTGGATAGAACTTCAAAACTAAGCACGACTGAAAATATTTTTCTTTTTTTTTTGAAAATTAAAAATCGTCTGGACCGAAAAATGTATACATTTTTGATAAAATGGCTCCTTGTGGACATACCCATGTTTGATTATTGTTTATCGGACGAAGTTTGGATCTATAAAACCACACAAACGATAAATTTGAATTAATCTCAATGTAATTAAAATAAAAACAATAACATAATGATGCACAATTAAGGTCTTGCTCCCCTTGAAGTCGGCACCTGGGTTTTAATGTAATATTAAAAGGTCTCATTTTACCTTATGCGAGTACATTTTTTTAAACCATATTGCGCATTTTTTAATACTATTACGTTGATATGTAGCGTGCACATATCATAATAATATTAATACCTCAATATGCCGTGGGTGGCCAGCACGGGTTGGAAGAGCATATGGTAAAAAAAAAATATATATATATATACTTGGAGTAAAATATTAAAAATTTAACTTTGTTGACCGACCAATTATTTTTGTGTTTTGAATAAAATACAATGTTAAATAATTTATGTACACACACTGGCTTAAGTATACACTATACAACTATATGCAAGCCCAATAAATTTAATTAGATAGTAGAATTTTTATTTTTTAAAACGTAAATATAATACAATTGTTGAAGTTCAGTCATGCTTTGTTTATGCATTTATAACATAAATAAAGTAATTAAGTAATCATTAAGTATACCCTGTATTGTTATACTCAAACTAATGTATTTCCAAGTAAATACAAATTGATAAGAACCAAATTTGTGACACACGCTTATCAAATTCATGATAAAATTTTGAAACAAATTTTCTGCCTGTTTTACAATTTTTCATATAATTTTTAATGAGTTATTGAGAAAAAAAATTGCCTAATAGAAACCTCCATAAGAGAATATTGAAAATATAATCTTTACTCAATTCTGTGAGTAAAATTACTTATACCCTTTTGGTTCTCACCACTCAAAAATAAATTGTAACCAAACTATTAACATACCATTTACCGGTAATTCAGTTTATATATAACTACATCATAACATTTCTTAAAATATATTATTTCATCGTGCAGTCAAATGCACATTTTAAATTTTCTACAGTCTACTGCACATTCAGTATAAAAGGTTGCGCGAATCGACGACAGTGGTTTGTTGTGATACGTAGAAATTGTACTGTGAATTTTTTATGCTTTTTACAAAACAAAAATCACCCGACGATAAATCGTCGTGACCGGGTCATGTCTGACGAGCGGGATAGATCTTTGGATCGATCGTCGAATCTGCCGTCCTGGATCAATATAATAAAAAAATCGATTGTCAAACAAGTGGGATCGATAAAACGTTTTTTGTTGTTTTAAATTTGTTGTCTGTTCTTTCTCGCACAAAAACACAATATAGTATATACGTGCGTTATGGCTTAACGCACAACAATAATACTATAAGATTATTATACGCGGTATGCGGTGTGTTGTGTACGGCTCGGTCGGGGTGAGTGGGAGGGTGACGGAAAAACACAACGCACGACCCTTCCACTGCGTCCAGTTGCATGCGGAGTATAGGGTGCGTGCAGTGCGCGCACGTGTAGGGGTTGCTTTCCCCCCTCCCCGCAACCGCTCACGCCGCCCGACCAGGCCACGGACGTACGTGGCGTACGCGTGGCACCGCGGGGTCGGTTCAATTTGCCCGACGAAACGGATCAATAAAACGGGTTTATATATTTTCAGTGTCGAGCGGGACGCGTAACTCGGCCCGCGGCCACTGTGCGGCGCACCCGACTCAGCCGCCGCGCCGTCACCCTTCGACCGAGCTTACCGAGGAAAATCGATGGCGGCCGCCGGCCCGGTCAGATAGACACGCGGCGACGGCGGCGGCGGTGGCGTTTATCAATCGACGAATCGAACGGTTACGCCGAACACGCTTGGCGCGCGCACCCGCACGGACGCGACACGCACTGTGAGTTTTCACCCTTTACGTACGGACAACCGTTTTCCGCGGGCAGCGCACGGCGAACGGTGTGTTTTGGTCGTGGTCCGCAAGTAGCGGGAAAGCGGCCGCCGGAATCGTTCGAACGCGGTAAATACATTTTTCGAAAAAAATTATAGCCATTTTTTTTACACCACACTATTTCTATTGTTAATTTATTTTTTCTCTCAAATTATTGTCAACTGTTCTCATTTATTACCGTTCAACTATTATTCGCAACCGTTGACCGTCACCGCCAGTGGACAACAATGCTTTCGACCGTCAACCTGCTGTACCGGTACAGACGGAAATAAATGGACAGTTTCGGTGACATGGGGCCCGAGTCGCCACTCAACGAGGTCGTGGTCGAGACGATCGATTCGCCGCAACAACAACAACAACAACATCAAGCTATCGTGAGTACCGTCCGTCGAACGCACGTTGTGGCCGCGGCCGCCGGCGATATACCGCAGCAAACACGCGAACTGTGCATTACTCGAGTGCCGCGACAATCACAGCAGCAAGCCAACGGTAACAACGTCAGCAGGATTGTCTGCAACGAACGGCGAATCATCCAACAACAACAAAACCACCACCAACAGCAACAACAACAACAACAGCAACAGCAGCAGCAACAACTGAACCACCATCACCTACAGCATCACCATCATCAACAACACGATCGGGACACCGACGAAGAAGACGAGGACGACGAAGACGAAGACGATGACCGCCGCGGCCGTTGTCTTTCTATCGTGGACGACGATGACGACGACGAAGACGACGACGACGACTGCGGCCGGGACGTGGACGACACCGTTGTCAAAACGGAAAATGGCGACAACAACAACGGCGCCATCACGGTCATCGTCCATCATCCGGACATCGGCAGCGGCGGCTCCATCGACAGGAAGATGAACTCCAGACTGTCGGTAAGTGTGGCCGGCATGCTCGACTCGCACGAGTACGGCGGAAACGGGTCGGGCAACCACCGGAACAACGGTAACTGCATGCAGCCCGAACCAACGTACCAAACGTTGACGTCGGTCAACGGTAGAATGTCGCCACCCGGTTACAGTCCCAATTCTTACGCCACGCTAACCCCGTTGCAACCGTTACCGCCGATATCGACCATGTCGGACAAGTTCGTGTACGGTCACACCAACAACGTGGCCGGCTCGTTCACGGCCATGCAGAACAACATCGGAATGGGGATGGTAGTCAACAGTCCGTACTCGTACGACAAGATGGGCTGCATTTCGCCCAGCCACTACTCACCGAACATGCACCACAGCTCGCTGTCGCCGCAGAGCACGTACAGCCAGAACGGAGACTTGAACTCGCCGCAGAAGAGCATGTCGCCCAACAGTTGCTACGATGCGCCTTACACGCAGCAGATGAACATGCGAGGACCGCCACCCGCCACGTCCATCGTGGTGCACAGTCCGGATCTCAGTCAAAACTCGGGTTCGCTACACTCGCCGCCCACATCTTCTGGCACGGCCGTAGTCAACTTTGGCGCGTCCTCCGTGTCCATCGCCAACGCCGCCACGCTGGCCAATGTCAACGGCCTGGCCACCATTACGCCGCACCCGGGCAACATAATTTCGCCACAACACTCGCCGTCGCTAGTCATACACCCAATCCAGACGCGGGAAATCGTGGTCACCACATCGTCTCCGTCACCGCCGGAAATCCCACAAAACCAACACCACCACCAGAGGATGACCACGCTGATGACGCAACAACAAAACCAAATGCAACACCAGGCGCAACAACAACAACACCAAACGGCCGCCACCATCATCAAAACCGGCACCTTGGTGTCCGGCATCCAATCGGGCGGCAACGGCGGCACGACCGTTTTGGTGGCCAACCCCATAGGCGGCGGTGGTGGCGGGGGCGGCGGCGGTGGCGGTGGCTCCAACTGCAGTTCCGACATGGAGGAGATCAACACCAAGGAGCTGGCGCAAAGGATAAGCGCCGAACTCAAGCGGTACAGCATACCGCAAGCGATATTCGCGCAACGCGTGCTGTGCCGGTCGCAAGGCACGCTCTCAGACCTCCTGCGCAACCCAAAACCATGGTCCAAACTCAAGTCCGGCCGCGAGACTTTCCGTCGCATGTGGAAATGGCTTCAGGAACCGGAATTCCAGAGGATGTCCTCTTTGCGACTGGCAGGTACGTTGTACGCGGTTTTGTGGCCGCCAACACGTGGTTATCGATTACTATTGTTCCTCTTTGTTTGTGTGTGCACTCCACTTTCTTCTGTACGCTTCCGCTTGGCCACTCTTTATACGGCCCTGACCTTATTAGACACCAGCATAATATTTCATTTTAATACAACCATTTGTTTGGAGGGATTTTTTGTTTAATTACAACATTTTATCCAACAAAAAAAAAAAAAATGCTAGTAAAAACGTGTATTTCCAAAGTTGTTGAAAAATAAACAATACAATATCCTAATATTAGAATTTAATTGAACAATTGATGTTAACTAAGCACAAAGTATGTAAATATTTTGTTCTTTAAAATTTGCCAGATTGTTCGACGAGCGTTTAAAATAAAATACAAATTTAACATTAACCTATTTTGAAAAAAAAAAATGTTACTTTGAAATTAATAAAAAAAAAAACGAATTATTGTTTAAATTCTAACACTAACAACCAAACTTAAGCAAAATTAAATTTGTTTCGGGTTGTTGTACTTGTCTATACAATGCATTTGTCACTTTTTAACAATTAGTCGATTAATTTACGTTTTACAATTAATAAACACAGGATGGCTAAATTACAGTGTTTATGGTAACAAAAAGTGAATAAAAAAGTAAATATTGTTAAGTAAATATAAAAAAAAATAAAAAAATTGATTAGTTAACATTTTAAAAAAGATAACGTTTTCCATAAACGTCGGAAAATTAAACTTTCATTAATCTTTGTAAATAAAAACTAAAATGCTTATTGTAAAACCATTAAGTGTAAACAACACTGCCAGTCTAACCATGTCATACTGTATAAATATAAAAATGTATTCACAACAATATATAAATGGTCCTAGCGGAATTCCCATTTTTTTACAAGCAAAATAATGATAATATTATAAAACAATTTTACGCATTTTATGTTCAAATTATTTAATTAACATGTAAATGTAATTTCGTACCGAGCATATAATTTGTTTTTTTGTAAAAAAACTAGGAGTATTTTTCACACGGCAAATGCAATTAAACCGTTTACAAAAACCTTTTGAAGTTTTAATTTGCCCGAAAACGATAAACCGAGACAAAGAAAAACTGAAAAAGTCGCAATTACTATAAAAAAAGTAAAAAAATTAATAAATATAAAACAAAATACTAAGCGACGCGACCAAAAAAAAAGATCAATTAGATAAATATTAAATTACTTTGTAAGAAGTTTCGCGTTAAACGAAGAACATTAGTCAAAATGAAAGTATTGAGATTTTTTTAAAATTCTTACTGATAAAGTCTAATATAAATATATTTTTTAGACAAACTCAGCCTTGTCTTAAACAAGTGTATAAATGGTAAATACCAACCAATTAAGAGTCGATGCTGAATTATTGTTTTATATACAGTCATGTAGCATATTATATATTATTAATATTAGGTTAAGTCTTCAGTTTGATATTTTTTTAGCTCTTTATAGAACTTCTAACGAACGTATGTTTCAAAATAGAAACTGTATTCATCAATTTAGATTGAAAATAAACAGAGGTGAAATGTTTAAGCCTAAAAAAAATAGGCTTAGATGTTCATTCTTTGCATAAATACTTTAATGATTTTTCAGATTTTATTCCATTAGGTTTAAGGTAATCTTATTGAGCTTTTATTTTCAATATATATATATATACAATCATTTATTTATTTAAAATACCTACAACTATCATAATAGTGACTATATCAGTGTATATATATTTCGTTTTATTGGTTGATAAACTGAGGCCACGTTGATTTTAAATGGAAGAGCTAACTATATGGGTTAAGTGACTTGAATCAGTTGGGGATTTCCCAAATAGAACGGGGGAAACCCTGACGTAACAACTGGAGAAAATGAAGAAATCACACTAAGAGGGTAGTCCGTGAAAGAAGACGAAGAAGATAAAGGTGCTATGTGAGTGGAGCGGATACATTGTGAACAGTATTGAAGAATAAAAGGCTGTCTTGAGCTGGACAAGGACGAGGAACTGAAGAAAGGATGAGTTGAGATAGGCAAATACTGCTTGTATATATATATATATTATATAAATTATTTTTGCCGTCGGTATTAAAAATGGCCGACGCTTAAGCACTCTGTCTGGTAATTTGCTAATGGATTAACGTTAAAACGATAAATAACCCGTTCCGCTTCAAAGATGGCGTACATAAGACATTTTCTTATTAATATTACACACATGGCAGAGTTCGGTGCCTGCCGGATTAGCCGCAAACGGTTTTATATTCTCTGAGAGATGAAAATTTAATAGTGTTGCACAAACAACAATAGTAAGGGTTGATTGTCACGGAAAGTTTTCCCTTAAATCTCTGCGGTTGACTTCGGTGTACATAAGATTTTCGACGAGGCGCTCTCGAGTTTAATAATAATTGTGTTATTCTAATTTTAGCCATATTGTTTTACCCGAAGCCGCGTTTCATTGAAAATACCCAACTGTATGTATAATATTAGATATTGTATACATAACCAATGAAAAGGAAAAATAGGGTATTTTTATTTTATGTTTTTATTCAACGTTTGGTTATAATTGATTAGTTTGATTTAAAAAAAAAAAAAAAAAAAACATTTATATATATAATATATGAATTGAAAACACCTTATTGTGTGTATTTAGTCAGTTTTGAGTTGTTAAAAAGAGCTCAAGCGGTGAAATCTTGGGAAAGTTGGAAGTAAATCTCTCCGTCAAATAAAATGGTACAAGTTGCGTTGTGCAAGTAAACGCGCTCTTATCCGATCACACAAGTGGAGACGGCTGCCATAATCCTCTCATTCTTGTCTTCGACTTTTTTCGTCTGCAAGCAATCCACTCACGTCTCAATCAATAACATCTACCCACGTCTTTCGTCGAATTCCTCTCGCTAAGCCCTTTCCGAAATTGCTGATTTAAGTCGTTGTTAAGCTTGAACGTAGTAAGACAATCGCTTCTGAGAAAACGCTGAGATAAAAATATGCCAGAACGGTCTGAAAACCATCATAATATGATAATACATTATGAGTGCCTATTTTTAGACTGTGGTTAGTAGGTATAGTTAAATAATTTCTACATTTTCAAGTCGTCGATGAGTAGAAGTAGACCTAAACAGAAGCGTATGAACGTTACTGGGTAAACTGCTTGAAGATGTTTGAAGTGAACACGAAAATGTGGATTTGGCAGACCAGCATAAATTAGCATGAGATAGTTCAGGAAGAAGAAAAAGAATTTATAGATTTCACCGTTTTTTTCTCTCGATAGTTTAATGAAAAACTATGACTACAGTCTACACGTCAGATAAAGTTAGATAAGATCAGGTTAGGTCGAGCTAGGTTAACAGCTGTTTTTCGTGTCTATGTCTTATGAATACATTAGAAAAATATAAACACTATAATATTTAAAAAAACTTCTCAAGTTTACCATAATGAGTTAGGTTAAAATATGTACGTTTTAAGGGTGTTTTTTTTCTTCAAATTTAACAAGAGAGAAGTGAGCTTTGAAAACTGGAAAGTTGAATTTCTGTCCTTATCAAATGCATTGTGTGAACGCTTCTGTTCTGTATTTTATGTATACAACTAAATATCAATCATTCCGGCGTTTAAAAGTTTATTATACGTTAGCTGTTATAATTCTGGTTGACTTTTGCCATCGCATATTATATTCTATCAACAAGCCATAATATTACATTATTATGTACCTGTCGCTGTAGGTACACGTTCAGCACAGTTTTAGTTTTTTATCTCGTCCGGATTAATTAATCTTTCTCCTTATTCCCCATCTACGCACGGTGTATATAATATTACACTCTGGTTGTCACGGAGCGACGACGATCTTATCAAAATGATAACTAAAAAAAACATATTATATTTATTAATGGCCATTCTCTCTGTGAGTGTGTGTATAAAGCCAACAATACACATTATAATATTGTGATAGTGTCGTTACCCGCATGGCACCTGCGGTACACGACGGAAACGCAGCACGTCCGTTCCAAAAGGGGTCCGTATGTGGTCGGTAGGGTGGAAGGTATGTATGGAGAGGGTACAGAGGCTTGTGCGGTGGGGTGCAGGTGCACCGGATAGGAAGTATCTGTCGCAGAGAGGCGTTCAGAACTCGGTGTAATCAAAAAAAAAAAAAAAATAGCGTATAGTTTTATGGCCGTGTGCTGTTTGTGCACACAAAGTTGGCTGATAAGGCGGTCGGCAACGATGCTAATACCGATATTTCTCACCCCCCCCCCCCCACCCCATCTCTCATCGAGTAAATACAAGTGTATTAATGTTATCATGGACGGTTAAAAAATAAAATAAAAAAAAAAAACACCGCCGGGAGAACTTGGATTAAATACGTTGCTTTCCATCGACAACATAATAATGTAACAGCTTGGTTGGTATACTTATTAACCGCGGTAAAACGAACAGGAGAAAAAATACAATTTTTTCTTACAATATTATTTTATAAAGCAACTCCGTTCTTATATTTTTAATCAGCACGAATTCTTTAGGTTAATTTAAAAAAAAAATTAAAATGTCGATTGACGGGGATTTTTTTTTATGTCGAATCCAAAACTAACAAGGCGTAAAATGCACGTTTCCTTCGAACTGTATACGCATTGTAGACTTTTTTCACTCGCTTCAATCATAAAAAAAATTATTTTTGAGTTTTTCAAAATCCGTTCGTTTGGTACTTATTCATAAGCTTTACATATACGGTACTATTCTTCGTCGGATTTTCTCATTATTATTTTTTTTCATTGCATGTTGTTCGTTAACCGTTTGATTTTTTTTTTCATTTCCCACTTACCAAATCGCATTATTATTCATTTTCTATAATAGTATTGTGTATTTTTTTTTAAATTTCATTCGGATCGTGAAAAACGTTTATACCTCACAGACCGATCCCGATGAAATTGCATTTTGTATAATATTTATGTTGTATATTATGTAATGATGTATTTTAGGGGATTATTTTTTTTGTTAATTTGTGCGTCGTGGCTTTTTTTGATATTTTCGGCTTGTTGTTGTTTACTGAATTTTTTTTTTTATAGTTGATTTTTGTTTTTAGATAATCTGATTTAATTATTTATTCATGTCTATTATTATACTTGCCAACTGGGGTAAATTGAACTTACGGTTTTACCGGCTTGCTTTGCATAAAGTTTATATGTAGAGATTTTTTAAATGTTTATTCGCTTCCTACTCCATAACAGACATGATGTATTTTTTGTTTATTTTTTTTTTTATACGATTTAACTGGTTTTTATTGGTTATTTCCTAAGACATGCTGTATTAATATGAATTACTTTAAACGTTTATCATTTCAGATGAGACCTCCGGTAGTCAGGGCCAAGACATAGACGGTAAGTTATGATATACTAAATTAATTATACCTAATATTAGATGTGTATACGTATAAAAAGCTAGTATTCTATACTGCAGGTAATAGCTCAGTAATAGTACCACAACAGAATTTCATATGGGATTGGTATTTTGTATTATTATGTTTTGGTAATGAAACTGCATTTACACTGTAGATACAAAGGTCAAAGTATTTGTATAGCTTCCTCGTTACTTCTTTCTTGTTAGAAAACAACTCATAACATACCGAATTACAAACTTTTACAACAACCATTTTGGTTGCTCAAAAGCATAATTGGACATTAACAACGCTTAATAATGTTTTAGTAATTAAGAAGTCGAATAAATTTAAAACTTTCTGTCTTATGAAATGGTTATTATTCATATAGTTGACTATAATCATTGAGTATAAAGTTTTTAATATCCGGATTAGATAACTCAAAAATCAATTAATTATTATTTAATTTTTATAATACACAATATATATATATATATATATACTCAATGTTGAGGTGTTGTATTTTCCGTGAGTAATTCGAGTGACGAAGGGCATGTAATAACGAGGAAGTTTTTCCTCTTTAACAACGCAACGACACAAACAAAGCGTCAGTGTACAAAAAAAAAAAAAACAACGGCATCATCGAAACCAGTGACGTCATTCGAGGATATTGGACAGGGGTCGGATAATAAAACACAACGGACGGCGTTCGCCAAAGGGTGTGTGGGGCGATAAAAGGACATACAGAACGTCGTATGCAGTTGTGTCCGGATAGAATCGTTGTAATATATTATTAGTATTATAATATACGGTCAAATATTATAGTACAGTATCATAGGGCCAGGTCTGACGACCGATTTGGACCTTTGAGAAGCCAAATCCGAACCATCAGGGGCGTATTTAAAATTTTGGCACCCCTGGCATATAATTAAGAAGTTTATTAATATATTATAAATAAATTAAAAACCTTTTTTTATACTACAAATTAACATAATAAAATACAATATTAAACAGTATAACGTTACATTTTTTTCTTGCTCGATTATTAGCGAAATCTTCAATTATACAGAGTGATCATTTTATCGTGAACCACTCAATATCGCATAAGGGTTTAATAAGAAATTCATTTTTTTTTTTAATGTAATTTTTTTTATACAATGGATTTCGATTTTTCTTTGCTTTTACCCGCCTACCAACGTAGTTTTTTCGATTGCAACTTTTGAAATTTAAATGGCAACGCGTACATTTCATTAACTTTTTATTATTACTACTATGATTGAAAATGACGTACTAAAAATGTTCGATAACCAGTTTTGAATAGCTATTTATGAAGTTAATGAAGTTTCAAGTTAAGGAAAGGTTGAGTGCCAACAATTATGAATTGCTCTGAAAGAAAATTTTCCGTTGCACGCCACAACAAAGGAGGTATTTTGGTGCCTTGCTTTTTTGTATATGCTATTTGCCCCGAACGGTTCGAACATTTTTTGTTGTATTATTTTTCTGGCCTTTATTATATACTTTTTAGAGTACCGTGTGTTGTATATAAGGGGTGCGAGCGTTCAACGAATTCCCGGATTTCCAAAAGCCGTTGTGGTCTTTGTACGTTTCATGTGGATAATTCCGGTTGACATCCGAGTGAAGGCCACTTACCCATACATACCTACTCTAGACATTCGATTAAACTGTCAGTGGCTTCACCAGAGCGTACGCAATAAGTATAATAAGTCGTTCAATTTGCAAGAAGAAAAAAAAATGAAAAACGAATGCCAAATATTCGACAAAATAATATAATATTATGTCGACGTCGTTCGGCCAAAAAGAGTTTTTTTCTTAATACTAGTTCGGCGTATCGATAAGCACACAAAGGTAAAAAGCAACTATACTTCGACCTTAGGCGCAAATATTTTGTTTGCCTAAGCATATATTAAAGTCTGTCCAAAAAAATCTAAATAAATAACCATAGGCTTTGTTCGTTTCGGAGAAGCTTTTGTTTACTTATTACCTTTGCCTTCTAAATTCGGTAAATATGTTTTTTGTATCTTGTTCGCTACATATTTTTTTTAAATCCAATAAACGCGACCCGTCCGGCGCAGGTATAACTTGCAGTGTACATTTACCCTAATCGACATGTAGATATAAAAATGATGTTGAACGTGTATATACTACCTAACTACTTTATATTTCCACCGGTGTACGTTTTTCACCCCTGCTGATTTAAATAAACGCCTGTGAAATTGTATTAAGGTTGATATTGAGAGAGGGGCAAAATCAGATTACTCCCCGTTTGTTAAACTAAATTCGATTTTGCCGCTGCTAAGCCACACTGTACTCGACGGTGAGGATCTAATACATATTTATACACAAACGAATATGTATTTAATAATAATAATAATGTTTACTGTACTGTATACACGGAAACGCCTCTGACAAAGTCATTTAGTTATTCATCACCGCAGCTTGGCGCTTAATCGCCGCTGATAATTATTACTTTGATCTCGACAGTAGACCTAACCTACCCGTTCAAAATACCCAGTATATTATTTAATTTAAATTCAAATTCAATTTGCTGATTTTGTAGAATCGGGTGACGTATTCAAAAGGGTACAAAATGGACTGTACGAGAAACAAGAATATTACTCTAACCTCTGCTATATAGATAGAGATAGACGTGGCTATGTTATAGTTTCTTAATCATAGTCTCTGAGTTATTGTCAAAGCTGAGCCAGCGATTTAATTTTAGCATAGTTGCTTAAACTAGATGGTATCGCGTTTAAGTTGAACTCACATGGCGAGGTCTATTTAAATAGGCGCGTTCACCCTTTATCGATGAACTTTTAGGAAGGGTAAACAAAAAACCATAACGCGGGTCAGATTTTTTAATTACATTTTTTCTTACAGACTTGGCAGGGACACTAAGCAAAAACAAAACAGTGGATTTTTATGGTTTAAACCCAAAAATTGTTTGGTATTTACCAAGAAATATGGATTGTATTAGTTATATGTATACCTACCCCGAAAACTTACAAAGGTCAAGGTTTTTTTATTAGAAAAAACCTAGCTTTTTAAACTGTCAAATTAATATATTTAACGGATTGTTTAAAACAAACAACAATGGTGTTATTAATCGGGTAGTAAATTTCGTTTAACGTCCAAATCCGTGGAAAACTTATACTTAAATGTTGCCGCTCCTTAAATTCAAACCCGCTCATAAAGCCTTTGTGCGCAGTCTGTCATAAGTCATAACTCATAATAAAGGAAATTTAAAAAAAACCAAAACAATTGTGCAAACGATTGCGCATGGTTCATGTAGGACTATAACTATACAGTTTTTAGTTTTCCACTACTTCCTTAATTATGTGTATAATATATATTTGTTTTTGATGTCTCGCAACGTTAATAAAAATAATAATAATGTCGGTTTGTAATATTCCGTTGCCCGTGGAAACGATAATAATGTATTATTATAGGGAAAAAAAGGCAGCGGCGTTTATACTCCGATAATCAGCGCTTAACACACAGAAAGTTGACCGTTATAACAACTAGAAAATAATATGTAAACACTTGAATAACGTAATCGTTCAGTTGTTAAAATTTTACAGTGTGATGTCCAGGTGTAAAACCAATATAATAATATGTATTTTGTCCTAAACGTTTTGCAAGCCCATAGGGTTAGTTGCGGGTACAACAATAGACGGGACTTGTGTATAAAATATACACTAAATTGTTAGTCGAACGTTGCACTTTTTACAGAAAAATCACAACCAAATAATAATTATTATGATTATAGTTAATGCATTATGCACGCGATAACCGCCGGCCGCCCATAACCGGAATCGGTTATCCGCACGTGGAATCTAAAAAAGGGGTACAAAAGTTTTTTTTTTTTTAATTCCACATTAACTACAGAGCGACTGACCTTTTGTATTTCGAGCACTTTACCTTTTAGCGACCCCCAAAAAACAAAAAATGTTTCCCTCCCTCTTGTCGTTTTCCCTATTTTCGAGGGTCGGTATATCTACCACCAACGCCTCAACACGAAACTCCATCGGCCCACTTCACAACCGCCTTCGGAATACTACTTAATAATACGCTTAAATAGCGTCAATGATAATATTATTATTGTTATTTTCTATCCTCAGCTAAAACCGTTAGCCGGCAACTGAGAATTCTATTAAACTTTGTAGTGGAGGATATTAATGCCGCGCCGCCAAGATACTAATTATTTTATTTACAACCGAAAGATAATATTATACAGTAATTTGTCTGTCGTCGTTAGAGAAATATTGTCAATTAAAAGAATAACGAAAAAAGGAGTATTATCGTAAAATGAAAAACCGTCTACACTTTGATAAACCGTTTTAAGTACATTGTTTTGTAAACTTTTTAAGTACCCATAATCGGAAATTAAACATCTTAAGAGGGTTAAGCGGTTTAAACTCAGAGTTAATGGATTTTCTCTCTCTGGTTGCGCCACTGACCATCGGGTTTTACAACAACAGTTAGTTGCATAAATATACCCCGGAAAATATGACAATTAAAGCTCTACAGATGACTTGAATCTCATGCTCGACAAGGCAACAAGTCAATATAGTTTTGTGTGAAAAGGTAAAAGCTATAGTTTTTACTGTGTAAAAGAACATTATTTAATTTTTTCAGCGTGGAAGTGGGCTCAAATATTATTATTTTTATTTGTTTCATACTAGAAATACCACCAAATATTTTAAGGTCTAATATTTTAAATATTAAAAACTGTTCTTTAATATCGAACAAATCGCAAACAGAAAAAAATTCCCATTAAAATCTGACCACTTTGAATTTATATTAAACATATTGACTACTTGTCAATCATGCAAAATTTGTTTAGCCAACTCTTTATTATATACATATCATTTGAATACAAAGTTTATTTAATACTCGTAATGTATGAAAAAGTAAAGAAAAAAAAATAATTCATTGAATTATAGGAATTTGAGCTATATTTTCTAGGACATCTATTGGAGTACAAATTTACGATTTTTAAATACAATTTTGGTTTCAATTCAAAACTAGTAAAACAATTCGTTGAAAATATAGTTAGCATAGAGTTCAAAACATACAAAATAACAAAAATGACTTAAAAGTATTTTTATAAGATGTTTTTGTGTCTCAAAAATTAGGGATTTAAGACTTGTGTGCTTTTTTGCTTATAATGTAAATAAGATTACCTCTTATGTCTTCTAAATAATACCTAACCTAAGCTTTTTTTTAAAAGCTATCCCGACCAAATCAGCTTTCCAAATGCGTATGTCCTCAATACACGTAGTATTGAATCAACGTACAAATCATGCTTATTATTTAATAAGCCCTTGACTATTATACCGGCTCAAGTCTATAGCGAATTCCATTGAGCTCAGGGCAGCCAAAATATGTATGTAGGTCAGCATCTTAAAGCAATCCAAGCAAGGCCAACTGAAATTATGGGCTCGTAAAAACGACTTTTCGGGCATAAAACAAAAACTTTATTGGAATCGCATAAAATCGTTTGTTCTTACTATATATCTGATGTGTATAAGCACAATGTAAAGGGAGTCATACTACGGCTTCACCGATGCTCTCTTGTAAATGATTCATTCAGCTACCAGCACACAATACACGTTAAAAGGTCTCCTGAGGCAAACTCCCATGAATAAATAAACGGCCACCACGGCGTTTGCTTTGTTCTGGCATTATTAATTCTGTGCATTCAATGTAGAAATCATGATACTATACCAGTTCTTAGGAAAAAGTCAAAACGAATAAGAAAAATACATTTCAAAGAAACATACAAGGTTTTGCCTCATCGGAAAATAAATAAAAGTCATACCCTTTGTATTTAAACTTTAAAAAGTTACCAAACGTTTGATACATATTATATTAAATTTAAAACTTTCGCTTAAAGAGCCTCGTTGAAAGAAAAACTTTGAGTTTTTTGTTTTCTACAAAGTTTTAAACGTAAGCTTGATTCTTTTAAATCCAATTAAGTGCAGATTTTTAATTAAAGTCAGTGCGCCTAGTCGAAACGCATTACACGAATTCAGTTTCCAACAGAAAAGATCAAATGACTAAACTTATTTAGATTAACGTGGCTTCAATACGATTTGTTTCTTTGTCCACTAACTCAACCGAATATAATTTCCTACTTGAGCAAGTAACAGAGAGGCTTATGCATTTAATCATTTCAATACAATAATTAAAATACCTTGAGAATTGTTCAAGCGTTCAATTTTCTAACGCTTTGAACAATTGGAACTGAAAATTATATACCTCCTTTGTTCTATTTATAGTTTATCTTATTAAGTCAATTTATTTCTGAAAACATTTTTTTTTCAATAACCAAATTAAATAAATCTGGAAGTTTTAAAATTATTTTTGGAAACCATGTTGTAAAAACAACACAAACATATTGGCGTTTCTTTCATTTATTATAACTACTTTTAACATAATAAGTAAAGTGTTTTTAATAAAATATGTTTTTAATTTTCTACTACTGAAACTCACTAAAAAATGTGTACTACCTAAATATTTTGTAATTTCTCATTATGGTGGAGAGTGGGCTCGCATTGTACGGTTCGTTATTTAATAATTTCGAGTTGCTTTGGACTTTCCAAAACAGTTTTAAGAATAAATATTTTGCAGGATAGTGATCTGAGCCACAACTATTTATTTTGGAGACTTTTTTTATTTTATTTCTATATGTACAATAACTATAATAAATATACAAAGTTTTAAGCACTTTTTGTCTGCTTCCTACAACTAAAATCAATAACTATAAAAAAAAATGGATTGGCTTTAAGACATATAGCATTTTAGTTAAGAAATTGACAACTATATAACATAACTTTTACGCACATTGTTTATGATTTACTTAAGGACCGGATTTTAAACGTCGAGCGGTAATTTTCAGGTTCGTTAATATTTATCTAAATATCCTTGTAAATAGTTTTATAAGTGCGTAATTATTACACTCTGGCAAAGTTTGGTGGTAAAGTTTCCAATAACAAGGTTTTTGATTAATTGGTAGTTTTGAAGTTTTGTCCTTAATTTTCAACTGTTGTGTATAATATTATTTGTAAAGTTTGACGATGATGTTATAATCGCGTTAACAGCATAAAACATTGATTACACATCAGAAAATCACATATTATTTAAAAGTGTCCGAATAATAATTTATTGTGCTATCTTAGCATGTTTTACATTACGACGAACCGCCAGAATTCACCAAAGTCAAATCCGGTCCTTATAATTCATAAGTTTAGCTATGTACGTTGTCTGTGTGGTAAAGTTGGAAAATAATAATAATTGCAAATTGTACTGGCACCACCTTTGGGCGCTTTGTATTCCGTGGCATTCGCTTTGGGTACATATTGAATAGCTAATAAATCACCTTCGTGCAAACAACCCGCGTGTCATTAAACTTTTAAGCAGTCGACAATATACGCTTCGAAAAGTTTCATCCGGAACTCGGTGTAATCAGCGACTGAGCATGAGAATTTCCTTAAGTATCTGTAAGGTATTAATTTACGACAGTCTTAACGCCGTACCGGTAGTTTGCAATATTAACTTCTACGCTGATTACATTTTTTTTTACCAATAACAAAGCACCGGTATGACGTGGGACGACTAGCAATAAACACCATCTGCGGACCTTAACCCTTAACTTGGCACTGTATCTTTTAAGATACGTGCATTTTATTTATATAATACTTTCCACGACCAACCTAGAAAGCACTGTTATTCTAATTATTATTGATGTTTAAAAATTAGCCCTTGCCAAGTTAAAGGGTTTAATATCTGTTCTAAATAAAATAAATTGATGTTAGAAATGTGGCAATACTGCAATGAACGATTTAACATGCTTTGGGCAGCGTAGATGACCAAACTCTCCCGTGGGATTACAATTATTACTGTCCACAGCGCTATGCGGTAATTTTGGACGAATTGAGGTTAACTTGGTCACCGTCGAAACGTGTCGTCCCTTTAGAACTTATATTATAAGGTCAGTCTAGAAAACCCTTTTGGTACAATCTAATTATATAGTAAAACCTTAATATGGAATTACCGCAAATACTCTTTTATCACTTTTCGTAGGTTTTTTGCAAAATATGAGCTTTAGTTTTTATATTTTCCATCCAAAGCTCTGTGTTGAATTCTTACAGACAAATTCTTCATAACTTTTTCAATTTTCGTCGAGAGAGTAACAGTTTTTTTGTTGCTCAAGACAAAGGCTTTTGCCGAAAAATGACTTTATAGTCCATTTTAGACCTAAGGTTATATATGACTCCTACCGAGGATGGCTGTTTGCTAATGGTATACATATAATGTGAGTTAAATGACATCAAATTTGTGTTTCCAGGTATGGTAATGGCGGAAAACAACGGACTGCAGAACGGTCCAAGGACAGAGGGTTACACAAATACAATGGGTTCGTAATATTACTGTAAATATAATAATATGTTGGGTGTAAACTGTTTAAATACTTGTACACAATATAATATAAGCGATGCAACTATATAGGTAGTGCCACCGTTGTTTGGGTTTGCCGCACAGACTTGCCGTCTACAGTCAACATATTATTATACTGTATAATGTGCTTTCTGAAGGTCGCGAATAGTGTTTCCTTGATGAGGTCTCGTTGATAGGTATATATAATATACAACACTAAGGGTATATATTGAAAACTGTTACTATAGTTACGAGCTATAGGTCACGCTAAATAATAAACTGCAAGGGTGGATGAAGTGTTATGGTGAAATAATATAAATAAGACAGTTTGGAGAAACGTCACGGTTTGGACGGTAAAGCACTGAACAGTGACCACAATACTATATACACTTGGTTATAAAATCACATTAAAAAAAACTTCCACCGTCTATTAAAGGGAGGGGGGAGGTTGGTAAATTTTAGGTTTAAAGCTATTTTCGGGTAGAAGCATGCTAAATATAAATTCCTCATAAATTTCAACACGATCAGATCATTTTTCGAGAAGTTATAGCAAATCAAATTCGATAAAAGGCATCCTTTTTTATTGTTTTCCCCAACTTTTAAGGGTGTAGGAGTGAATTTTTTAAAACGTGTACCCCCTTCACCCTTAGTAATACCATTAATTTTCTATAAAAATATAATATCAAATAAATCAACAGTTCCTATTTAAATATAGGCTAAGTGTTAACTGATTACAGCATCGATATCACAGGAAGACACATACTTTATTTGTGAACTATTCGAATAATATAGTTTTTAAATTGATACACATTATTTTTTATTTTGAGAAAAATTTTAACTGGACAACATCTTTTTTAGTCACTGATATCTATTTAAAAAATTTTTTTTAGAATAATAAATTTCCCAAATTAATTAGTTACCTATTACAAAATGCAATACTTTAAACAAGTTCAAGACCTACTTGAAGTATAAAAATAAAAATATATTTTTAAAACTGATTTCAATAAGTTTTTTTAAATATTTCAATTGTTACATTGTCCATTCCTGCGCAGGTATATTACTCATAAACAAATTTCACTTAATTTAGGCTTAAACACTGACCTAACCATTCTAATCTGAGCTTATGGAATATTAAAATTCTAATCTATTTTTATAACATTTTGGTGACTATAAATCATAATAGCAGTTCGACAAAATAGTCGATATCATAAATTCTAACAATTATTATGTAGATATACCATTTTTCTCAGGTGAGCAAAAAAAATGTTATTGTCTCTTGAAACAATTTAATTTATGATTTATTATTACTACGTTTTCTTTTAGATCAGTATTTTATCTCCCATCTCTCCTTAGCATACCACTAAAGTAATTTGTAAAGTATAAAAAGGAGCCAAAATAATAAACGAATACCATTTACAGTGATCTGTCTTACATTCCAACGTAATATTTATTAAATCTTTTGAGGTTTTTTTTTTTTTTGGAGAATGCATTGTTCCAGTTTTTTGTTTGCAATTTATGAACGCTTATTGCTTCCAAAATTAATATAAATATCCACAAAAGTATTTTTATTTATTTTTTATTTCAAATTAAAACAAAACAACAGTCTTCAATAAATAATCAGTACCGTATGAAATGCAAAGGAAATTTGGTTTTGCTAATATTTGCGATACAGTACAAAAACAAAAATGTCCCAATACTATTTTAAATAAAACAATTATTTACAGATAATTATTGGGCATTAATTCACCATCCCGCAAATGCTATTCACAAAAATATATGGTTAACATATTCTATAATCTTTTTGAGACATGATTTTCTAGATAATGGTTCATTTGTAAATCATTAACAAAAATGTTATGAAAACGTTTTACAAATACTTTTACGGTATATTTGACATGTTACCGTCTGGGGTCGCCGAAAAGAGTTTTGAACTAGTTAAACTGTAACATTGGTTTTAGAGAATTTACAAATATTCATACCTACAACAATAATGCCCATGCTGTTATCGCAGTATAGTAAAATACTGGGGTTTCGGTAAAAGGTGTTAGCTTACCGAGATCAACAAGAAATCCTGTGAAAATTAATTATTACAGGACCTAAGCCAGGAGGTGGTCGAACGAAAGTTCAGTTAAAGTGCATATAAAGTTCAAACTAAACGTATTATCAATTTAACTGCACTTCGATTGAGACACTATGTATTAGATTAACCAAGCGATAATGGGATTTGGACACTTTTAAGCTGGATGTGTAAATATATGATGATGCTTTTCCAAGCAGGTTTTTAAAAAAAAAATTTTAATTAGTTGGTAGGATTTGGTGACAAGTCGCGCAAACCTGGAAACAGAAATTATATAACATTGTTCCTTGACGTGCATTTCAACCTTCCGCTTAAACAATAATCCCTTTTATTATTATTTTCAACTTTGTATGGAAATCCCCCCATTTTTGCCACCTTAATGTTAATGGCGGGCACGTTACTGTCCTGTATGGTAATTTAAATGGAGGTTTCCAGGTATTTTGTATCTCTTTTATGTACTTTACCCGTACATAGGGCGTTACTATAGGGATAAATACTGGCTATAAACAGTTCGTGATGTCTAATAATTAAAATAATCACTCCGTTAATATTCATGGTCAGGCGCGTTTCCAGGATTTATTTTGGTGCCGACTGGGATAACATTGTTTTTAACAGGAACAGACAGTCCCAATTTATTATACCAGACCGTATTTTAAATTTTAGGTTTTTTTTTAACGGTTTTCAGGCACTATCTTTATCTTTTTTTTTTTTTTTATCATATAAATTAATCACCCGGATTTTGTGTGGAATGACGTCAAATTACATATTAATCCCTTTCCGTTTGCGTCACATATATCAAAATAAAATACTGCGTCAACCGTTAAGCAGATCTACCAGTAGCCACAAGACTATTAAACAATATAAATTAGAAAACAATTATTGCAGTGGCTTTACCTGTAGAGTACACTCTCTCTTGTAAGGATTTGCTTTAGGTGTGAAAAAGTACTTTTTATTGAGGTAAAAAAAAACCACCCCGACCTTAATGTTAACATTAAAGTGCAGGTTAGGTGTGTCTTTTGTTTTGTTGTCGGTATGAAATTAGACGAAACAGACACCGAACTTTGATGGTTTCATAAAGCATGTAATGGCCTATACCGGCTAAAAGGAAATAAAATACCGTCTTACGCGATATTCCATAATAATTTTCACTTTGTTCGCTATCTGAACGAAGAAGCAAAGCTCTTATTGTAATCTGTTCTTTTGGACAAAACTTTTCAGTTAGTATTTATTATTATGGTCTTTGTTTCCAGTAATAAAAAACAAATCATGACATAACGGTGGTTAGTGTACAAATAATTTGTATTAATTTTTGTTTTTTATATTGTTTCAGCTGGAACACAGATACCACAACGAACACGTAAGTCGATTTTTATCAAAATTAAAGCATGATACTATTAACTACATTTATAGCCGTTCTCGTCAGTTTAGCATAAAAATTGATTTATAGACTAAAAATATACTTGAATATTAAACCGAAGTGATGAGAACGGTCAGTAGGTACCGGATTGGTCGGTTATAATGTAGAAAGAAATATAGTAGAAAAAATATAAACCACAATTTGGGTCAAAGTTATAATATAGTAATATCTGAACCAAACCCCTTAGCAATTCCACTAAATGGCATTGTTTGATTTAACCAATGGAATAATAGATTCCTTTAGATTTATAATAAAATTAATGTTTCACTATGTTAAAAATATATATAGACAACTGATTGAGGATTTTTTGTGTGTTGGATAACAGTTGTTTTATTTATTAACGATTGAAATGTCATAATTTACAATAATCATCATAGTTTGTTATTCAGACAGATGGACACTGTTATTTTAATTACCATACTGGTAAAATGATCACTTTATGGTATTTCTCGAACCTACATATTAAGCTGTTGTGATTTAAAAACTAACTTTGGTAAATTTACAACGCCACAGTTTATTAGAGCTCCGAGTACAGCTCCCCCCCACCCCTCAGCTGTGGGTATTGTCTACCGAAAAACAGTTAACATTGTGTTAAATTCCGTTTGGTTTAATAATTGATTTGGTCCGTTATTGGGGTTGGTATAAACATAAAATATTATACAGTACGTCGAACTAACCTAACCTGCGTTTAAACATGCATTCTCTTTTATTATTAATACATATCGTCCGACGAACCGGCTGCCGGCCAACTTTTAACTTGACTATACGTTGCAATGCAAATGTATTTACCTCGAAGAATTTCCTCGACCTAACCAGATTTTCATGACGACATTATGTTGAGCCTACATTTACCTTCCCCTTACCGCCACCCCGCAGAAAATGGCGCTGGCCACTCGAGCTTTACACGCCAGTACAATAATATCTACCCCTCGGCCTCCGGGTCGCCTATACTAAATAATTCATGCGCTAAAATGGTTTTTACATTATACATGTGAAGCCCGACCGACAGGCAAACGTTGTGGAAAATTATATATTTTTATTCTTTTATCTACCTGCCATACTAATAAAGCGTGTGATACAAATGATAAATTATTAACGCATATACCGGGTGATCCCTTTTAACGTCCTACGCTAGTTTGCTCTAAAAAAAAAAATTGACATTTTTTTGTTATTCTTTTTGAAAACATTTTTGTTTATGTTTCAATATTCGAATGTATACCTTTTTTAGTATTTTCTAAAAGCTTTTGAAACTTTTAAAATATAGTAACTCATGTATTTAATTGAATTTTTAAATCAACAATCATTTGCTGAACATTTTGATTGGTCGATAACCAGTCATGAATAAACAGTTTAAAAATCATTAAAGTTTGAATTTTAGGACGGGTAGAATGTTGGAGTCTAGTTTTTTTTTATCTGTGCAAATTACTCAACCGTATGTTCACCTCACGTCCAAAACTTTAAACTTTGATAACTTTAAAGTTTAATGCTATTGGTTCAAAACTGATTATCTACCAGTCAAAGTGTTCAGCAAATTATTCTAAATACTTAATTTAAAAATCTTAAATATGTAACCATTTATGTTTCAAAAGTTGTTAAGGCTAACAGTTTAAATACTGTCTAATATTGTATTATGGCACAAGCAAAATAGTTTTAAAAAAAGCAAAACTACAAATTTGCAATAGTTAATAGTAATAACTTATAAGAGAAAACTGGTGTAGGACGCTTAAAGAATCACCCGCTATTTACACTCGGCGGCCACAACTACTGTTGTTGTTTAGAGTAAGCACCAACTAGTTGAACAAGGCATTTGGCTTAATGTACTTAACTGCACGTCCTACTTGTTTGTACGTGCAAACTTTGACCCCTCGAACAAGTATTCTGTTAAGGTCACAAAATAGTTGTGTTTTCGTGTAGTCAGTCGGACCCTCGCAAGCAAGTTTCATTCTAAGGAATGTTTCCAATTGAAAATATTGAAAAAATATTAGAAGTGTTTGTCAACGATCAGACTAGTCATAAAATAATATGTTAAATAGTGAACAAATATTTTAACTTAAAAATAAGAAAAACATATTCGAATAATTTAAAAAATAAAAGTTTTTTTTATAAAAGTATAACCATCAAAATACAATAATTGTGACAGTCTTTTTATAAATGTTTACTCAATTTCAGAGAAAATTATACTTTTAATGAAAAAAAGCTGGAATTTAAAAAATAATTATATTAATCCATTTTATCTAACAATAAGTGGTCAAAGTAAATATATTTCATCAGAATCAAGTCAAACGTTGAACGATTTAACGTGAAATCCCTCTTTTAAAAATTTGGCTAATAGGGCTAAATAGAACAAATAACAATTTTTGGAAAAAATGAGATATGTAAATTAAAATACAATTTAATGATTACATTATGTGAAATGATACCACCTGCACGACTTTTGTAAAAAAACTTGTAGAGAAATTACAAAGTCTTATACAAAAATATAAAACTTCAAAACCCATTTTCTAGAAAAAAACATTAGCCCTTCAGTTTTTAAGCATTTATAAAAAAATAATTTTAATAAATCCTACATTATCATCAAATTATTATACAATTAGTAGTTGTAACTTACAAGTTCATATAAGCCATTTAGGTAAAAAAAGGCGATTTGATAATTAACTTATTTAATCATAAACAAAAAAAAAACTGTGTTTTTAAACTGTTTTTTGACAACCATTTTATTGAGTTAGTGCTAAAACATATTAAACGTAATGTAAATATTTTAGTATTGATATAATCAAATTGTGCAATAGTTCTCAATATATTAAGTATCCATCATACATTTTACTGCCCCATAAAATAAAGCCTGTCTTCAAGATTACTGACTGTCGATACATTTATTCGTTTAAAAACTATTCATTTTTATAAAATAAAAAAAAGACGATTGAATTTTCTTAATGTAAAAATTAGATAATTCAACATTGCAACAGCCATTCTGAGAAGCACTGTTGTGCAACAGGTGGACAATTTTTTTTTTAAGTATATTTTGAAAAAAAGTATACCTGTGTAGGGAAACATTTAAAAAAGCTTAAGCCGGATAATTCTTTTATTTTTATTTCCCTCGTTATTCCGTTCCACGCACCGCCTTTATTTATGACATACCTATATACACTAACCTAGCCACAGGATATACTCACTCTTTTTTACTGAAATAAAAAATATTTCTCGCTCAAAGACTAAAAAAATACCCATTATTAATGGGACACCGCACATGCTGTTTTTTTATGCAAAAATAAGGGTTAAAAATTGTATGTTTAAACTAAAAGTAAAATCAGGACTTACATATACATACTAGGTCTTCTTGAAGAGATTTTTTTTAATTTTCATGATTATTTTTTTGGTTTATCCGTAAAGTGTTTAGTTTAGTTTGTTAAAACAGACCTCACAATATTCCTGACTAAATTAAATTACTCATAAATGCCAATAGGTTGGCTTAGGGTTCCTAAGATGGGGAACCCCTCCCTGAGTGTTCTGTCGTCTTATTTTCAAACAAGTGTTCTCCGAAGCCTTCTTCGTTTGTTCTAGTTTTACTTGTGCGACCATTCTTTCAATTAAGCTACTAAGACATTCTGGTGTGTAAACAATGGACACTTAAGTGGCTTGCTCTCTAGTCGAACTTTCATATTTGCACTGTGAATGCTTGTAGTATAACAAAATAAGAGAGAGAAGTGAGAATAGATGACATGCGTTAGACGAAGAGAGATTTCTTCGAGTCCTGAATTAATTACAATAGTTATTAGGTACAAGGTTTTTTTTTTTTTTAATGTTTAATAATATATATTTTTTGCTCTTTTCAGCACCTATTAAGCGAAAAGAAGACACCCCGACCATCGTCGTGGAACCGTCGAACACGCCGAAGAAACCTCGTTTGGTGTTCACCGACCTTCAGCGGCGTACGCTTCAAGCCATCTTCAAGGTAAGTGTAATCGTTGAAAGTCAAAAGAAACACTCTTTTACAGCAACAAACGCACGTTAGAAAATAAATTGTACGCCGAAATCAAACCAATAACTACGAGAACGTTTTCCACAGCCTTCCGCGAACAGTACCTCGTTATATGGGAAACAGAACTCAATTTATACCAACCGAGATTTATTTTTTTTTTTTGAAAAGCTTATTTTCCCGTGTCATAATAGACGGATCTGACAGCAACTTTTGTCCTCATCAATTTTCACAATCGGTCGGCCCGAGTTGCAGCTGACGTGTCACGTGCAAGTCTGTGTCTCTTTTTACTCTCTTGTCATACATTTTCCCGTGAGGTTTTCAGTCTGCATTCGACCGAGATGTGTTCGTTCGGTTTCGACGTGGAACTGACAAGATATTGGCCGTACAAACTATCTATATCCCCGTGCGGTGTCTGTCGAACCAAATCTGTCTTGTGTACATCCTCCTCGAAAAACCCTTATCCGTTTTTCCCGGGAAATCCAACAAAACCATTAGATGTATTATACCCGTCAACGCGGCTCTGAGGGCAATTATTTTCTATCTCGAACCCGCCCGGGATGAACGTTTATTCAAATCAAAAAACATACAAACCAGTACAGCGGAGTCGAAGAGTTCACAAATCTTAGGTAAAACTGATCAAATCACCGTCAGAAAATCGCTTCTGTAAATCTTGAACGGTACCTATTAGCTTATGTTAATATAAATCAGAATATGGGCAATATAGGTATTATAATCGTGTCTAATCTATAATCTATCCAGTGTTTTTTTTGGTCGCTCGATAAAAAAAGTTAGACTTTTCATTTTGTATACTTACATACTTTTTTAACTAATTATTCGACTACTTTAATAAAGTTAGACTGTGTGCTGTATGGTAAAATAAAAATACAATAGGATTCCAACATTAAGAGTGTTTTTCTCAATGTTGAAGGGGAAGGTATAAACTACTTCTGATTTCTGATATTTTCTACATGAAAAATTAGTTCAATGATAACGTTGCTGAGACAAAATTAACTTTAAAAATATTATTACACTATTTTATACCTACACAAGACTAATTTTTATGAACAGTTGTTGTTGATAAATTTTTGATTTTGTACTGCTTACGGGCTTGGTGTTGAAATAAGAACACAATTTTAACGGCGTCTGTTAAATTTATACAATTTTCTCAGGTTTAAAAAATAAATAAATAAGAATCTTTTTTATTCGTTTAACATCAATGGTCGAATTGTATTTACGCATACACGCAGTTTTCACGTATAACGAGATGGAAATAATATATTCAATGGTTTACAAAAGAGGCAAAGCTCCTCACGTCTCTGTTTGACGTTAATCTCATCCGTTTTTTATTGATGCTTTAATGGATTACGTCTTATACATACATATAAATTGTAATAGCATATTATTTATAAAATAAACAGTGCGGTATCCAGTAAAAGTGCTATAACATGCACATGGCATTATATATTCAAATTTGCATCAAAGAATATTATACTCATAAAAAGCGTGGTTCGCGTTCAAATTTGTTACTCACTTACCGGCAAACCGGATCACTATTTAAATATTTTTTTTTTATTCAAATAATAAATAAATAATTTTTATTTGAACGTATATCCAAATAATATTTTTTAATCAATTTTTTTAATTCTTACTAAATCACGAAATTGTCGTCATAGTTAGCTATCGACGACAAACAGGCTGTTCCAAGCTGTTCCGAGCTAGGACTGGAGGGATTTTTATTTGACCGTTGGTTTATTCTTTTACTGTACTGATCGTTTTGCTTATTTTGGTCCTATACAGGAAACGAAAAGGCCGTCCAAAGAGATGCAGGTGACAATCGCGCGACAACTGGGCCTGGAACCGACGACGGTGGGCAACTTCTTTATGAACGCCCGGAGACGGTCCATGGACAAGTGGAAAGACGACCGGGACGACCCCAAAGCGTTGGCCGCTGCGGCCGCGGCCACGGGCAACCACCAGGACGGCACGTTGGTGGCCATACAGACACACATTGTCAACCACCATCAGTCCGAAGTGTTGTGACCGACAATGAACAATGGTTAGACAGACAGACAGAATGCCAAGCACCGTCTGGGAGACTGTACCGAGGAAGACCCTTTTCCACCCATAAAACGTTGTTGATAATGATAATAATAGAAATTGAAAAACTAATAGTTTTAATACATTTCAACAAAAGTACGATGGTATTATTGTTTGATGGATTTTAATTATTATCGACAGTCGTTGGAGCCTTGTCTCTCGATAGAAAATTAATACAGAAAGTGATGACTATAAATATATATATATATATGTATAACACAGCTGTCGTTAGCATTATAAAATAGATCTCTATACAGTATAATATTATATTTTACACGTATGGTAGGGCAACAATGCGATATATTATATTAATTATTATGTATTCTAATCCGTTCTAGTCGTTTGCAATCGTTACCGCGCCAAATTTACATTAAGCAAGTTTACAAGAGAAAAAAATCCCAAAAACCTATCTTTATTTATTTATTTATGATGAGGAGTACTAGTTCTGTAAATCTTCGTGAATATATTGTATATTATTTTTCTATTCCTTCCTTACCCAAACCAAATGTTTCTTAGCTAATGTAATAGTACCTAAACATTCCAAATTTATTCCAAAAACGATTATAACAATATGTTATTATATTTTCCCCTTTAAGGTAGGTGATCTTCCTATTTTTAGAAATATCTCCTCCCGAGTGTTTTTATTCGGAAATATTAGTCATAACTCATAATTAATAAGATCTCCGTCTTTTACAATGTCAAGTCTGCGTAAACAATCTAGTCGAGTTTTAACTTTTAATCATTAACGAAAACGCTCAATTAACTAGCTAGTCGTTCGGATGAAATTCTATATTTTTGTATTGTGTTAAACCAACACAACATGTATTACCAAAACAACTAGTACCTAACCACAATATTATTCATAAAAAATATTGACATTCCTCGTTTTTCATTAAATTTAACGTTTTATTTGATTATTACATTCCAATCGAATAGCGGTATTTTAGTAGGTAGGTAATTATATACTTAGTATATTAACATTACCTAATTAATAATCTTCTCCAGTCCCTTTCCGTGCAATATTCTAATGTACTGATGTAAACGTCCCAGACAGACTTAGGTCAGCGTCATTAATATTAATGAGAGAATAGGTCCGGCGGGTTTTCCTTTTCGTCTCCGAATATTCTAAGATCACTCCAGTACCACTGTGAAGTAATTTAATTATTGAAAACAACAGCAACAAGATGAGTTGGGATAGTATCTATGTACAAATTGTTAAACGCGCGATTGCCTAACCTAAATTAAAATAATATAATATAATAATATATGTATAGGTTTGTATAGGTATATAATAAATATTTATTTTTGACATACAGCTTTTTAGATAATATTATACACGTACTTATAGCTATTGAAAAATCATTAGGCGTGTTGATATTTTATATTATATACAAATTATATTATTATTATTATTATCGTTATTGTTATTTTTATATACTCACAGTACCTATATAATATACAATGAAAACGAATCCGTTTAGACATTTACACGATAAATTTGCAACTTACACGGTTTTGCACGCATTCAAATATCATTATGGTACTTATTGAGATAATATTAATAGCAATAACAATATACGAATAGTACTAATTGTTTCTAAAGTGGTTACAATATAGCTATGTAGCAAGTGTTTAGTTGTAAATTGTAATTTTGTACATAAATTGGAAACGAAAATAATATTATATAGTATCGTACGGCAATGAAGATTTTTTTTTTATACATACTTTTAAGATAATATAATTATATTATGAGCAATTTTAATTTTTTAACAAACCAACACGTCTGTCTCTTAATTGTTTTTTTACTTATTTAACGTAAGCTAGCGATCGACTATAATATATTGTATTGTAAAAACCCGTTTTGATTATATTTTTAATAATCGTGTAATTTTTTTTTTAGTTGTTTAGTGTAATTATTTAGGTACTCAATATTGTACGCGTTACCCTTTTTCATTTTTGTCCTATTATCTAGTCATGTTTTTTTTTTTTAATTTACACCTAAAATTGTGTGTTAAAAATATTTTTTGTACAACAAAACCTTCTCTAGTCTTTTGAAATGCTACCAAATGTCTACAATGTTTCAACACTATATATTATTATAATCTAGTCATTAATATATTATGTATAAACACATTGTACCTATAATCTATATTTTATACTAATTTTATTTTCTTTTAGTTTGGATTGTTATACAGTTTAAATGAAAACACAATTTTTTAGCGTGTAAGTCATCCATACATCGGCTACAGTGACAAAAGCTAACATTATTATTACAATAATATTATTTTGTTTACGGAAAAAAAAATATCTATTTTACAAATGTGGCCTTTGGTTTTTAAACGATTTAAAGTAATAAATAAATTAGTAAATTATACAATACAAATAATAATTGCTTGCTGCTGTTTTCTTTTCTCGTCTACAGACAGGTTAGTGAATAAATCGTTCTAACAGTTAGTACAAAACACACATATAAAAGCCTTATTAATGTTGTGAAAGAATTTAATAAGAATATTTTATATTTTTTAATGTTTTATTACACACAAGTCATGATTAATTAAAAAGTCTTTAATAATTTTAGAAAGGAAACAATTTAAGTAAATTATGTAATGTCAAATTTATAAATTAAAAAAAAAAAAAATATCTACAAAAGAATATAAGTTCAATATTATAGCCCAATTACAATTCACAGTAAGTGGTTACACAAAATGCTGAAATTAAACATCTCATATTTAAATTAAAATGTAAATCTTGTAAATAAAATATCAAAACTTTTTACAATTGACAATTGTAGAAATACAGTTTATTCGTTTTAAAAGTAAACTCATAATAAAATTAAATATTTGGCATATTTTCATTTTTTTTCTTTAAGTTTATTTATTTAATAATAGGGAACAAAATTTAATACGATTCCAAAAATTAAGAGATCTAATAATCGGTTTCAAATAAAAACCAAAACACTTTTAATAAGAAATCTGACACAAAAGTGACTATTATCTTATGGTAGCAAACTTATTTACAATAAAAAAAAAATATATATATATATAAAAATATATATATATTGAATATGTACAATAAAATGAGATTGGTTTGTTTTTGGAGACAATGAGATAAATATCCTTTTTCATTTAAATGTTCGAAAGGATTTCCATTACGTGATTTGGAAGAATTGTCTCTAGTCGATCAAGACAATAGTTTACCGGTATTATGATCCACATAACAGTCTGCAAATATTATAACACAGTGTATAAGTAAGAATTTAAAATGGGTAGCAATATGAATGTAAAATTATGTTTGTACGTACAGTGTACGCAATGCTGCCCATAAACTGTGGGTTGATATAAATCAAAAAGGCGAGTATTGCCGAAAAGGAACTTAAACCGGCCGTGAAGTGAATGAAGAATGGTATATCTTTCTTGGGAAAAACACTGACTTTGTGGTGAGCTGAAATATGAACCAATTGTGTAATAGATGAAAATATTCGTAGATAAATTATTCAATCGACTTTACCAGGCAACAATTCTCTGTCAGCAAGTTCTGTACAAGAAGGGTATGGATGAAACAGGTATCCCTTCTCTAGTGGATACGGAATTTGATGAAATGTGGTCTCCCACGATGCGCTGAGAACATGGAGTGCACCCTTTATTCGCTTCCAGTGTGTCAAATGAAAAAATGCATAAGAAACCGCTTCACTATCGCCTCTTTTCAATATGTGTTCCGGAGGTAAAATATAAGATTTCATCTCCAGCAAATACTATAAATAAAAAAAAATTATAATTATATCAACAATAAATAGTATATTTTTTTACTAACAATAAATAATTCATATGGTTTAAAAATAATATACATTAATTGTATTAAATTGTTTAATAATTTCTTCTCCAATTATTAAGACCATTCAATGAATACAATATAAATAGTATTCATAATAGACGTTTGGTTTAAAAACTATAATAATGACAAAATATAGTATCAAAAGAAACCAGAGAAGATTTCTTATTACTAGCTCCAATTATTTTTTGTAAAACTTAACCCTTTGATTTCTTTCTTAAAAGCTCAATTCAGGTTGGTTATAAGAAGAAAACAATTTAATATTTGTTACCTTTGGAACGTGAGGATTGAATTCAACTGCTCGATGTATTGCTTCAAAGGCGACTTCTTCGGCTGGAGTAGGTCCTCTTTTTATTATAGTTTCTGGGTTAAATCTAAAAATATTAAGTTACATTTTAATTTTATTTAAGACACTCACAAAAAAATACTACTTAAAATCAATTAAGTAAATTGTGTTAGCATTAATGATTTTTAATTAATATCCAAGCTACTAGAAATATAATGGCATTATCATATTATTGTGTTATATTTTAATACTGTTAACTTTAAATATATATTTCCGGGCAAGTATGGAAGACTATAGTAATAGTAATAGAATTTTTAGCAATACAAAATGTTAAATAAATATGTATTAATTACCAAGAAATGTTGCACTAATTGCAATTACAATACAAAAGGATAATGATAATTAAACCACTACATTTAAAATTGTACAATACACTTTTAAAAATAAAGAAAATAATTTTAAGTGATGTCAATTGATTTACTTGTCAGCAACAGCACGGACTTTTAACAACGCAGACGTATAACAGATGACTGCCGATTTAGGTAGGTTTATGTCATCGTACTTGGCTAACACAGACTGAACATCTGCATACGATTGCATTTCTAACAATGCTTCGATCAAGTTCTCGTGCACATTTAGTATGTTCATGATCGGCGGCATTTCTTTGCTTAACTGTTAATCATAAATCTTTTTAAAAATAAAATAATAAACAAATAACCAAACACACTGTTATTCTAATAACCATCTGACATTACGAACAAAAACTTATTGTGTTAATGTCATTACATATAAGTACTATAATAATATACATAAAAAAATCTGAATTGTTTCATAACAATTTAGAATAGCTATTTTATTGTAGAGGCTTAACTATATTCTTTTTTTTTTTTCAATTATCCATTATATTTCATTAAATATTTTTGAGACGATAAGGCCATTTTTTTAAACAGCCAGATGAGAGTTTCTAAGGCATGATACTAAAATGAATAGTAAGTTGTTAATAATAAATTATCAAAATTTAAAAACATTATAATGTTAAAGAATAGAAGCGGAATGCACTAAAGCTAACATAATATTATATTGATGGTTACACCGGAAAAGGTTAAAGCGACATTTTTCGTTTTCAGGAGTTAAACAACTTGTTTTTGGTAATTTTACTAATTATTTGTTTTTTAAAGCAAAAATCTGAATAAAAATCAATATTATACTTCAATTAATGTTGTATATACCATTAAAATATAGATCCTAATAATGTCATTAAGACCCTAATTTTTGAGCTGAAAAAATATAGTTTTTACTTAAAAATTAAATTGTTTGTTAAATAACAATTACAGCTAATTTTTTTAGATCAGCACATGTTTCCCTATCAAATGGTATATGCCATGTCGCTTAGACCCAAAGTGTATACTACATAATAATACTTAAACATAATAAAAAAAAAAAAAAGGTATTTGTTACCCGTTAGTTTCTTTATCATTTAATAATTTATGTATACATACATCTCTATATATTTTGACTGCTTCTTTGAGTTTTCCAAGTTTTCTACAGCACATGGCAATACGTCTTCGTACATAAATCAACACATTTAAGTCTCGCCCTTTAACACAAGATGAAACTACTATAACATTTTATTATTGTTATTACTCATGAGAGCTTCACTATATTCAATCAATATTACATTAGGTACTTTTAAATCTTACATTTTTCGCAAATCATGTTTATAAACAAGTATGGCAATAATTAAGTTATTTTTTAATTCTAATGTGTTAACGTACGAATGTCACTTTCTTGATTAAGACATGAGCTCAAATTAGGATTTAAAATATTTGGAAAAGTTCATTGCTAAAAATATTTATTTCAATACCAAATGATAAAAACGATTTTACATGTTACAAAAATCAATGACTTGGACAATTCAATTTTTATTAGTGTTATTTGTACTCATAATAATAACTTGTCAGAGTTTAAAATTATATATCAACAACTCTATTATAAAAATTATGATTTTATCGAAATCATTTATGCAGGCGAATCATCTTTAAATTGTTTTTTTAATACAAAAATTGTATTTATTAAATGTTGACACTTTAGGGCATTATATGGCTTTTCTTAATTTTTAGATAAACAATTTCAGTAAAAATTGATTTACAAAGATTGTTTGAATACTGTATTGCCTATTGGTATTAATTTTAAAATATACATATAAGTGGTGCACAAGAATGGCAATCAATTTTATACGGGATTCCCTCCGTCAATAGAGGGTACCATTGTAACAGATTATGGACAGGGGGATGGTAAACTATGACGAGGGTGTGTCCTCTGTTGATGGCGGGTATCCCATATAAAATCGTTAGCCATTTTTGTCTATAGCATCACTTATCTGAATATTTTAAAATCAATGCCAATAGTCAACGCAGTATTTGAATGATGTTGGTAAATAATATTAGGAAATGCTAATTTTTACTGAAATTTTTTATCTAAGAATTAAGAGAATAATAGAATAATCAATGTACTATAATTATTATAAAATTAATAATAAACAAGTATTACTGTGTTGCGTTTCAATATTGGAATCAAGGTGATGAGATTTTTGAGTTTTTTTATAATTAGTTTCAGCTAACTTTAAAGCTTTACGCAAAATTTGTTCAACTTTGACCATGGTTGGAGCTTCTTCTTCAGCAAGCATTATTAAAGCGGTCACACAATCTGGATTCTTTTCCAAAGCCAGATGAGCTGCTTGCAGTCTGGCTTGCGGTACTCTTTCTCTCCAAGCAGCTTGCATTACTAAATTAAAAAATACATTTTTTAAATTAAATAAAAACAATTAGCGCGCAGACAGTGTAGTCCTCCTGACAGTTTGTGCAGTCAATATTTTTTTTTAAATTTATTCCCTAACTAAATTTTACGAGTTGCTAATTCAATTAAAAAATATTTTAAATAAACTTCATAGTTATTTAAAATTTTTTGCTATATCATTGTATCTAATTTATCAAAATGATATTGAACTAAAATACATACTTTCATAGTCAGGTTTCCCATCGTCGGCCTCACAAACAAAGAACGCTTGATGGTCTTGGGCTGAGAGATTCATGTCATAAAATGTCAAAGGTTCTCTACTGGTCGAGTTAAGATACCTTCACAAGTTAAAATTAAGTAAATCTTTACATGTATGTTAATTATTATTAATTGTTATTTTATATCAAAGCAAGTTAACGTTTATTGATAAATAATACAAATTCTATTTATTATCTTTTCGATAGTCATAAATTTCACTTCAGCGACTATGACTAATAGCTGGTTGGTAAATTGTTCATATTGTAGGCTGGACACATAAGATAGGGGAAATAATATGAGTCTTTGTAAAACAACAAATGGTCACCCATTCAAGATCAAGTAGCGACAGACACACTTTAACTTTACGAGATGATTGTCACCTGTGGTGTCCCTTAATTTTTAATTATTTACCTACATTTTTTCAACATTCTTTTTAGCTAATTTCTTACCATTAGATATAATCTAATCAAGCACTTTTTATGATATCATGAATTAGGTATTTAATTTTTTTTTTTTTAGTTCAGTAAAAGTACATACCTTATGTATTCTGAGCCGCGAAAAAGACCCAGAGGATTTCTCCAAACTTTGCACTCTGAAACAAATTCACTTTTTGTAGTTATATCGTTGAACAAATATGTATAAAATAGGAGACAATTAAATTACCTGGAACAGGTTGGTTATTATCACTACAACCACCAATCCATGGACTAATGTAGTTCAAAGAAAACTGTTCAATGAATGAAACTCCATACTTTTGAAAATACATCCATTCTAAAATCTGTAATGAGTTTGTGTAATACAAATATAGGAATCAGAACATACAACACAATTGGTTTTGATGACAAGCATTACATACCATAATTAATGCTGAGATAAAGGACGAAGTCGCCGTGAGAGCAATGTAAAATTTTGGTGTCAGAGATTCCATGAATTCAGATACTGAAAAAAATAGTGTATCAACTCTATCAATCAAGATAATACAATACAGATATCTTATTTCTAGTACATACTTTGTCAAGTTATCTAATACAAAGTTTAATCAGTGGGTAACGGATAATACTAAACTTACAGCGGGAGATTTTGAGCATTGAATAATAGCAAATGGTAGATGTACGTAAAACACAATACACATTTTAAATAGTGTTAATCGGGATAACTGTAGACAAATGAGGCAAATGTAAATACAATTTGTATATTAGAAAGAACCAACACTGTTTGTATTTTATGTAATTATTAAGTATATTAACATCTTATAATTAAAAGTATTGAGTTAAAACTAAAAGTTATCAATTATTTTATTCAAAAAATAAAATTTCCATTTGCCCCAATTGCTTACAGTTGCCCCAGTAAACCCAAAGTAAAATCCGTTGATATTAAAAATCTTTCATCATTATAATCAAATAAAAAATATAACTATAATTAGCGACATAAAATTAGAGCGAAGCCCTGTTTCCTAGTACTGAACTGAAATACTCTACATTATTGTTTAAGAAATGGGAGCTAACATAGATACAAGACACAACATATGTATGAAAATTCAATGGCGTCAAGTCTCATACTTATTATGTAAAGCAGTCTAAATTGTAATAAACCTTTTAAGGCAAAATTTAACTTTTATGCAATCATAGCATTGTTTTTCTTATAGTATTAGACCTACAACTGTGAAGTGGTTGCTTCAATTCAGGCATAGATTCGGGGCCTATATTAAAAAAAAAAAATTAACCATCAACATAAATTTAAAAAATTACTCTCCATCTTAATTTATCACTATTTATTTCAACCACAGATATATAAAAATATGTTTATAATAAATTACATGTGTATTTATGATTTCAACTATAAATGGATTAATGATACAGGAGTGACACGAGTGATGCAAAGAGTGTACTGAATTTTTGAGTTTCTTATGAGCTATATTTCTTTCAAAAACATAACATTTGTGTCCTGTTTCTCGCTTACGTTAAATCAATTGCATAGACCTGACGGCTACTTACATATATCCCAGTTGGCTTTTTTCCGCATACATTCTCTGGTATAGCAAACCATTAAAATGATGCCCAAATACCACGCCCACCAAAGTTTTTTCCACATCCAAATTAAAAAAGCCCTAATCATGTTCCGTTCGACAAATGGTCATACCGCAAAAAACCGAAAGAAGCAGAAACGCCGAACGGTCCGAGTACGATTTAAGCCGGGCCTTCAGGAAAAAAATCCATTTCCAACTGAGTTATCACTTTTCGGTTTTGCCGCTCGTTCGATCGATATGTTATCAGTAGTAACGCTGCGGCAATTGTCGACAAATCTACCTCCAATACAACGGTAACCAAAGACATTATAATCACATAATGGCGTTGTAAAATACCTCCATGTAGCATTAATCAATAAAACATTACATGTCCTAGCCCAGCTTGATAATATAGCATATTTCATTCTATCCGTAGTTTGTAAACATAATATTATATTTTACCCGAGCTGGGCAATAGTGTTATGTGTATGCTGTCAGTATAAAATTATTAAGTTTTAATATTAAACGTCAAGTCGTTATCACTGAGTAGTTACCGTCATTGCAAAGGTTTTGTCTTTAAAAAGTGTCGAACTTTTTATAAAACAATATGATGGAAGTGGACGATGAAGACTACGAAGCGCCATCTTCCAGTACCAGCAGCGTTGGTGAAAAAAAGAGATTTGAAGTGAAAAAATGGAATGCTGTGGCGCTTTGGGCTTGGGATATTGTTGTCGACAACTGTGCCATTTGTCGTAATCACATCATGGACTTGTGTATCGAATGTCAAGCCAATCAAGCATCAGCGACTAGCGAAGAGTGTACAGTGGCTTGGGGAGTGTGTAACCATGCATTCCACTTTCATTGTATATCTCGTTGGCTGAAGACCCGACAAGTTTGTCCACTCGACAACAGGGAATGGGAGTTTCAGAAGTACGGTCACTAAAATTTTAATTATGCCAAAGCTAACCTACATTTTTTTCTATTATATACCTACATACTTGAAATCATACTTTTAGTAGTACAAAATGTTCAATCTTATTTAAATGTAAAATTATCAGCAGTAAAAGTAATAAAAAAACGTCCGCTTTTAAATAAAATGTTGTTTTCAATTATATATATATATATTACATTATCTAATATGTATTACATTATCTAATATGTAATATTATATGAATTTATAAAATCTAGATTCTATTTAGAACTTATCGATTTATGTAATTTATAAGAATCTATTATATCTATATAACAATTTGCTTTTACATAAGCGGTCAACAAATATTTTATCGACAAAAGGTAAGTCTTGATTGAAGTTGTATTATTTTATTTTCAAAAAAAAAAAATTAGCTTATAAAAAACAAAAGCACATTATTTTCACTTTCTCATTGTTGTTATAAATATATGGTCTACCACTTGTAGTAACTTTATCGCTTATAAGGCGTTACATAATTAAATACAGTATTAATTGATTAATGTTGAAAGAATTTAGGGATATCTATATAAGAGCATTACCAAATAAAAGAAATATAATCTAGATAATAGCAAGACAAGTAGACAGAATTAGCAAAGCGTAATTGATTCGTCAGTGTTAATAAAACGAGTAATTGTAGAAGTATGAAGGAAATGAGATAAGGAACGATGGCTTAGAAAATAATTAGTAGAATGTAAGGGATCTAAAAAATCATCAACATGTTAATAGGTATTTAGAAGAAAATAATTTATCAGATAGGGATAAAGGTTTAGAAAGAATTACTAGGTTCACGGTATGCATACACTCCGCAGGGTTACGGAAACCTATTGCTCAACAAAAATGAAACATCGAGCAGTTACAGTCACAAAAGACCGTCATCATCTAAAAACATTTTGTGACAGAACATACAAGACGTGCACATATGTTTTTTTGTGTGGCAATGCTTTAATACAATATAATGTCAATGTCAATCAGTCGGTGTTTAGGAATAGTTATTAATATGCGAGATATAGATGTTAAAAAGTATAAAATAAGTATTACAATTTATTTATATATTTAATATGAAATGTTAATGGTATTAATAAAATATGGTAATGTAGAAAAAAATTAGCAACTTATGGTTGAATATATATAGTAAAGAAATTAATATTTTAACCCTTAACCATAAAAATAACACTATGCATATTTCTTTAATAATGTTGTCATCTTCAGCGCTAATGACAGACGTAAATGACGTAGATGTGAAATACTTTTACGCATAGAGTGTATTATTTTTATGATGAAAGGTGAAAATATTAATTTCTTTACTATGTGTTAATGTATTTAAATAGATGTTTCATTTTAGTCAATCAACATAAATGTACAAATTAATTATAGTCATTAATCTTTAACAAAAGAAGGCAGTTTACCTAATATGTGGAACATTTAACATATAAAAAAATGTGTTATCCAGACAGCTAATTGCAAAAGTAAGTAATATTGTTTTGTTTATTACTTCTAATTTCTATATTGTAAACAATTTCTTGAAAATTATGTAAAAGGATTGCTTTACCTATAAACAGTTTAAAATATTTATACTCAATTAAAAAATGTACATAATATATATGATTATTTGTTGGATTGAATAGTCAATAGGACATAAAACTTACTAAACTTTGGGCAAATACATTATTGAAAAAAAAATACGACCTAAGGGCAAAGTAGGTTCAGGTCTCTGGAGTTGGAATAGTGATAACTGATAAGTGATATGTGAAATTTTAAATAGATTGGACGGGAAACCAATCTATTATCGTCTGGATAGTTATAGTTATCATTTCATTATAATATAATAACATTTTATAATTGCAGTTATATTTGTATTATTTGTTCTAGGATGGAAATTATTTGAAAAGCTTATGTTTGATAAAGGATATGTATAAATTTATATTTTAACCAATATTAAAATAGGTATTTTTAGGATGCCTTAAATTACTTTTTAGGCTATGGGTAAAAGACAAAAGTAGAAAAAGTATTTAATTATAGACGCTGGTGGATGTCACGAGCTATTTAAAAAACGTATTAAAACAATGATGAATGACAATCAAAATCCTCTAATGCAGTTGTATTTGTATTTTGTACTAATTGTACTGGTAATGTGGAATTATTTGGATATTCTGTAGTTCCAGATTTGAATAGTGCTAAGTATTTAAAAACTAGGATCCGAAAAATAAACTAATTTTTAATTTTGGCTATTAAGGTTATATTCAAAGGTTATTTATCAACAGACAACAACGCATTAAAATTTTAATTTTAACAATCCATATCTACCCCTAGTCCTTAGGCTCTTTAAAATACACCCTATCCCATGTCCCACCGATTATTATTCAAGTATTAAGTATCCAACCAGTGACGGGTTTAAGGGGGCAGTAGCCCCCCTCCCCTTTAGACTAAGCCATTTTTTTTAAGGCAAGTATTATGATTTATCAATAATTATTATAAAATATCGTCATTGAAGAATATGGTTACTTAATATTTATAGATATTTGAATATTTAGGTTTAAAGCTATTTTTTCATTGTTGGATTTAAAATACAGCTAGATAAATTCTCGAACCTCAATTAGCACCCCCCCCCTCCTTGGCGAGTGAAAAACCCGCCCTTGTATTCAACCTTACTACGTACTAGGTTCTAGATACCTTGGTGGTTGGTACTTGGTTATACTACTCGAATTCCGATCACTAAATGTGTGTACCAACTACCAGCTGATATCCACAGTGCAGCCACTAGAAAATCCCGTCAAACCGACGCCACCGAAATTCATGGACCAAATACGATTGTTTGGTGTATTAATCGATACATAATAGAGAGTGGGGACATCGGTCACCGCTGTGTGTGCCGTATGAACACTGAACATTGGACAGTGGAAGTGGAAACTTGATCTGCAGTTAAAAAGTAGTTTTGTATTGTTAAATTTCAATTTCTAGTGACTACTATCATTCATTATCTCTTGCCATTGCCGGTAACCTGAACCTCGATACTCGACGCATTTGTGTCTTTTTTCCTCTCTATAAGATAATAGACACCTAATTCAGGTAAACATATTTCATATAATCAGCACCCTTCATCATAATAGTATGTAGGTATATATTCGGTGTTGTACCGTCTACTAGCAATGGTGTTTTTATTTCTGGAATAGGATTTAAACTCAACAATATTATCATAATAACCTCTAGGTTCCTATTACAGTCGTTTATAATACAAAAGGTTTTAATTTAAAATTGAATGCCGAGTTTCACATTAATTATGTTAAAATAGGGTTACAATCGGAGTAAGAAACTACTTAAAATCTTTAAAAAATGTTTTATTGACACAGCAATATTGTATACATGTATATAAAGACAAATCAGTTGAAAATTAGATTAAATTATTTTTATTTATTTGTTCTAACAGGGTACTGAATGACAAACATAAAACGAATTTCAAGGCTTTACAAAAATTAGATATTTTTAATAAAATAAAAAGTGGCTTCAGTGGAAATCAATAGTTGGCCTTCAGTTGGAAAATAATTGTTCAAAATAACTACAGGGTGCAATTTTGTACAATTAACCCTAAACATTTATTATTGATACAGGTACACGTTTTTAATTCCTTATTTATTAAATATTTACTTAATTGTACCAATATTTTGTTTTTCAAAGTATCATGCATACTTACTTGAAAAAAGAGCAATGGGAATTGTACGTAAGTAACATTTGTCATAAAAGTAATCACATAATGATTTCTTTTACGACTTTTTTTTTTTTAATTATTATTTTATTATACTGATATAAGATATTAAGTGTTTGGATTTAGAATAGTATATAATAATTTCTTATTATTCAGCGACCAATTGTTTTAAAAGAAATACAAATATGTTAGGTTCTTAAGATTTTAATAAGAGTATAAAACATGTTTAAATATTTATAAAATATAAGTTTAATAATAAAATAATAAAATGTGATCAGTTCCCCCTAAAAAAAGGAATAGGTGGAGGGAAAAGCGGCTAATAGTGGAGGAAACCACTTCCCTCCTCTGATTTTTTATCAGCTGATAGTGATCCACCCTCTCCATGAAAAAAAAATATAATAAGCCTAAAACCAAGAATAATAGTTATTATTACGAAATATCTTAATTTTATATTTTTAGTATTTTGTTTAGTATATTTTTGTATGTGTACTAAAAAATTGACTCACCAGTTACATTTATTCGTTAAATATTTATTACACAACGTGCATTTAAATGGGTAATTATTGTAATTTTATAGAAAAAATGATTAAGGGATTAGAGATATGAGATTATAGATAAAGGGTATTCTACCGATAACGATATTTTAGATAAGAGATTAGGTACCCCAAATTAGTTACTCTTAATTAGGTACACTAGAGGTTGTAAGTGATTATATGTTAGAGATAAGTGATTAGGTACTCCAAATTAGGTACACCTAATTGGGTGTACGGATATAACGATATATATAAGGATAGTAAAAAAGTTTGTTAGTTAATCACTTACTTACTGGCAAACCACGGAAATTGATTAATGAGAAATGTTAAATATTTATAAATATAGCCAGTAAATCGATTAAGGCTAGATATTATAAAATTACTAAAAAACGTTTCGCCAGAACATATAATTAAAACTATACTATCATCAATTATTGCAACGAGATTATAGATCGGAAATAATCATATAATCATTAGAACATGTCCATGTATTGATGTATCTGCATGAAGTGTAAATACTCTTAAATTTTTACTTGTTTCACATGAATTTGTCATATTTTCGTCTTCCAGCCCCAAGTATCATAAGACATAAGTATTGTAACTAGGTACTCTGTCCTTTCTTCAAGCGAAAAATTAACGAGTTTTTTATTAATTTTTTTTTTTTTATTATAACATATCTAAGTTTCAACTATAGTTATACAAATGTTTTTTGAATAACTTGTACTGAAATTAATTCCATATTTTATAAAAAGTTTTATTATTCACATTATGTTGTTACAAAAATTATGCAATATTGCAACAAAATCAGTATTATTTACTATTTATTATTCTCCAGAAACAAATGATTCCGAAAAAAACGTATAAAGAAGTTTTGCCGATATTACAAAAATCAATACGGCGGGTTCTAGAATCGGATGATTTTCGTATTGAAGAAATTACTTTAGAAATGCAAGCCATGTATGGTGTTTCTTTATCGGGAAAAAAGAATGGCAGACGGCTACATGTTACTTTAAAAGAAGAGATCACTAATCATCTAGAACAGAAGGTAAGCTGTAAGTTGTAGACAGTTACATTACATTGATAAATTGATTTACAAAATATGTATATAGTATATTTACTGTCATTTCCCGCAACCCTCCATATTATATATATACCATTAATAATAAAGGTAATTATAATTTTCAGGTTAGACGTGATATTTTAAAATCGTTTGACAGCGATAATTTTTTAGACATTCTTTATGCTTGCTACAAAAAGAATGATTACTCAATGGTTTTAATAAGAGAAATGCTTTATTACGTTGATAGTCTGAAAGTTGACAGCATATGGAATGATAAGTTATACAACATGGGTAGAGAATTATTTCTCAACTTGGTAATAAATATATACTATATAGATGTTTATAAATAAATATTATAGTATAATTTTTGTTTAGATTATTCGCTTTATAAGAAGTCATCTGCGTTCAACGCTTTTAAGCAAAGTAAACATTTTTAGAGATATCGATATTACATCATCAGCAGAAATGTATAGTGAGCAATTCCGTAAATCATCGGTTGAAAACATATGTCAGATGTTAATAAATCTTGACTATGATGGCTATATCAAAATACACATGACGTATGAAGAGGTTTTCCAAACACCGTTGATTAAAATGTTTACTATAGCTGCTAAGGTATGTATGGGTGGCATTGTATGTAGGTACTAGTGCGGCGTTTTCATAATTTTACAGTAATAACGTTTCAAAATGGTATATACTCGATAAACTTGGCATGACCTCTTATATAATTATATATCTATTAACATGTATTATTTTAATTTATGTTGTTTGTCTAATACTCAATAAAAAATGTTTCAACAGATATTCAGCGAAAAACTGTTGGCACAAAAATGTGTTTCGAAATACATAAGAAAAGCAGAAAGCGTACTAATAAATGAGTCAGAAAGAGCAAAAATGTACATCGAGTCTACCAAAAAACAACTGATTGAAAGCATTGAGGAAGAATTAATACAGAAAAAAATGCATGAACTAGTTGAAGTAATATTATATGTAGGGTGATATTTTTATCATGAACATTCAATATCGCATAAGAGTTTAATAAGACATTAATTTTTTTTCCCATATCGTTTTTATACAATGTGATCTCAACTTTTAAATATTTTTATGTTTTTTATAGCCACTTTTAAAACTTTAATGGTACTGGAAAAGAGTTTAAAAGTTAGGATAGAAAGGAAAGTGTGGTTGGGAAGTGTGCGCAGATAAAATATAATACCTTGTACGCTACACCTTTACTTCTGCCCTAAACTTGAAACTTCAATTAGTTCAAAAATAGTTAGCTAAAACTGGTTATCAACCAATAACATTTTTAGTACATTATTCTCAATTAAAAAAATTAACGAAATGTATGCGTTACCATTTGAGCTTCAAAAGTTGCTATAAAAAAATTAAGTTAAGGCCCCTGGATACCGACCATTTTTAAGGAGTTTTGTATAGGCAATATTTAAGAAAAAAGTAGTTTCATTAAATTTCGACCATGTTAATTAATTTACCGGTTAATTTATATGAGCTTCATGGTATTATTTTTAATTTAAATAATTTTGTCTATGAGTAAAAGCCATTTAAGTTTATATAGTAGTACATTTTTTGTCCATCGCACAGGCTGAACCAGTGATTTGATAAGTAATCTGAAAACAGATTTGAATTCGTCATGAAGTTTACTTGAGATCGGTCAGCGTACTTATTTGATATCTTATTCTTACTACGCATAAAACACGTTTGAACATTTTATAAAATTTTAAAATTAAATTTGGAAAGGGTTAAAATTAAAAATTGAAAAAAGTGCTCTGACCGATCTCAAGTAAACTTCATGACAAATTCATAACTGTTTTTAGATTGCTTATCGGATTAATGGTTCAGCCTGTGCGATGGACAAAAAATGATGTGTTTTGGCTGAAAAAAACGGTCGGTATCCAGGGGCCTTAAAAGGGGGTAAATACAAAAAAAATTGTAAAAAATTGAGATCACATTGTATTCTAAAAAAAAATAATGATATTGAGTGGTTCACGATAATATAACCACCATGTATATTTCAAAATACATAACCTGTGTTTGTCTCTACTTGATATTCTAAATTTTGTGTTTTATTTTGAGTTTTAAACAAACTAAAAATCATTTATGATTTTTGAGATCTATGTTCTAAATTATGTAGAAAGGAATTTCGTATGTATAATTTTACAAATTTTGATTGAAGATTTCATACAAATATTGGGACCAAAATAAAACGTTATAATATTTTTTTTAATTGGCTTAGTGAGAAAAGTCCTGTGTAATACATTTTCACAAATAAAATGTCTTGGTCATTGTATCCTCCCAAAATAATGCGTATGTTTACAACATTTCGTCTGTTAAAATATGGTAGTTTTTATTTTTTAGATGGACAGCGGTGTGGTTTTTATGATAACAAACGACAAAATAGATGACTTAGCATACATGTACTGTCTATTAAAGCGTGTTCCTGATGGCTTGAACATATTGTTTGCGTGTGTAAGTCAACATTTACGTACACTTGGCAGAAGTCTTGTTGAAAAAGAAGAAGGAAATGATACAAATGTTGTTGATTATTTGAAGGTTAATTATTAAAATCAGCAAACAAAACTTTTTAAATGTCTCGTTTTTTTTAAATTTTTTTTTTTTTTTAGAAATTGTTGGATCTAAAAGATAAATTTTATAGTTTTTTGACCGACTCATTTTATAACGACCAGATGTTCCAAACAATAATTTATGCAGATATTGATTATATCTTTAATTTGAATGACAACTTATACAGGGCTATCTCAAGATTTTTTTCCAATAATATGGAACGACCTATGGTAATAAAACTAAGAAACATTAGTTACAAGTTATGATATAATAGTTTAATGATTATTTTTCAATTTCAAAATAATATAATAAATGTTAATAGTAGTATTTCTGGGCATGACGCCACATTGTATGACCATTCGTGCATAAGAATAGAGTTAACCCAATTATTGGACAATTAATAATATACAAATGTTTTATTCATTTAATTTTTCAGTCACATGATAATTTTGAAATAGATAAGCTATTATTATATTTGTCTGCACTATACGAAGAACGAGAAAATCAATTTGATGAATTTTACTTCAATTATTTAAAGAAGAAGTTCACTCTTAACAGAATACATGCCGTTACTTATGAGAATGAAATAATCCCTCAGTTAAGAGTAAGATTTTTTTTTTAATCATCCTTTTTAATTACAAATTTAATTTCGAAGCAGCTTGAGTGTTTGATAAAACACTAATAGTTATTTAATATTCATTTAATCCATACAGTAGTCTGCTCCAGATGTACTTCAATGTGCGAACAGGATGGGTTAAGGACAAGAAAAGCGCTTTTTACTAAGGGGCAAAGGATAGGCAAATATATACAAAAAGTGATCTTTATGTCATTTTATATATGCTGACCAATTTTAAGGCAAAAGATAGTTAATTTTTCTAGTTGTAATATTTTTAATATTATTTTTCTTCGAGGTATTGCGAAAGTTTGATCAAAAATGTCTTTCGTAAAAGTAATTTTCCGACTTTACTGGACGAACTTCAATTTTTTAATTTTATATGTTTAATCAATTTTTTTCTCTATGGAGGCTACAAGGTGGTTTTTTGATTGAGCTATTAGAAAATTAGAAAGATTTATTAGAAAATTGTTTTAAAAAAGTGGCCTTTGTGCACCCATAGAAATAATGTTAAACTCTGTTACAAAAAAAAAAAAAAAAATTGACCGCGTTATGCTTTCATTTGTAAAAAAAAATTGACACTTTTCGTCCCCCTTAAACACATTAACATATTATATATATATATAATTTTATAATATATAGTATAATAATTTCTAATTTCTAATATCTAATTTATTTATTTATTTTTTTTTTAATAGCCAAACTTCAATGTTGATTTCATGACTAAACTTGAAAATATAGTAAACAATACATTGACCACAACGGAAATGGAAGTCGAAAAAAATATAACAGATAATGTACGTATAATATTGTATTGACTCACATAGGTCCCTATTAAGTACAACTGCCTAAGTAAATCAGACTTTTCTATAAGTCGTGACATATTTTGCCATAAGATATAAAGTTGTTTTCGAAACTAAAAGGACTTTTTTTGTTAAAGAATAATTTACTGATGCGTGTAGTTTATTGATATTTTTATTTTAAGTGTTATATTTGTAATGTTTTTAAGCTCCGATATTGAATGGAACGAATTTCGTTATTTTATTTATTATGGGATTTCTTACTTGCTGATTATATATTTTTTTCAGGTTGATATATCATTGCACGAGAACTCAAACATCTAATCAAATGAAGTTGGTTTTTCCAGATATCCAGTTAATAAAATAAGTTTTTCCTACCGTCTACGTTTCATAAACTAATATTTTAAGTATTTTGAAAAAATATCATAAAATACTAGTTCATTATTTATTATTCGTAGTAATTTAACTATTTTTATCTTGAAATTTGTTCGTATTAGATACTATTTATTACTCACTCGTAAGTTTTTCATTTACGAAACTTCATTACTTATCTTTTATGGTCTTATTTTTAATATTTAAAAAAAAAATGTTTAAAAACATATATTAACTTATATTACTTTTTCTTTATATTTATTAGTGTTAATAAATAATAATCATTATTGTGCCAACGTTTTTGCTATTGGTGGTTGACAATGCCTGAGTATCAAGCATTAAAAATCAGCTTTAAATACATTTAATTTCCATGTACTTTTTTTAATGTGTGTATAATTTTAGATAACTAAATTAGATTATTTACCTAAGTAGTATAATACTATTATAATTTAGTAACTAAATTAATTTTATTTTAGATTCATTACTACGTTAGAAACATATTTAGGGTTAGGGTGTTTTTCTAGTCCAAATAGCAGGATAATGTAGTTTTTGTTTAATTTATAAGAAATGTCTAAACACTGATATGTTAGAAATTTAACTTGTGCGAAAGTACGAGTCAAAGATGGCGTCCCAGGTTACAGGTAGGCTCAGTTCGATTCTCAGCCATGCTTTACATTTTTGTCCTGTTTATGCGTTTCTAACAGATATATTATAATCCAATATTATATTATTATATAATTTATTACTATCTAATATTATTATAATTTAAATTTAAAAGTACTTTGTAAAAGTTGAATAAATGCTTTTGAAATCGTATATGGGTTGTGTTAATCATTTTGTCGTAGATCTTACTAACTTGTTTTGCGATTACTACAATACCTCGTGGTGAATGAACTGACTGTACAAACGTTTTTATATCATATTTTTGCAGTAAAGCAAATATTGTAACAACTAAAATATTTGAATCATATTTCCTAAATATTCTATGTGACGTATTTAAAACTATTGAACCAAATAGGTTGTTGTGAGTTCTTTTTTTTATCTAGTGATAGATTAAGTAGATATTTGTTAGCTTATTATGTATATAGGATATGGTCGTTAATTGGGTTTAATGCATATGTGGCCACACAGATTTAATTTTGAGTCATGTGACGTCATGGTTTTTATTACATGCCGAGTGATCTATAGTCTATGTGTGGGCACTGAAGTCTTAACTCAATATATGGAACGCTCATTGCCCATAGTCAGCTGCTTATGAATTTGTTCTCTAGTAAGAGGCTGCCATTTTGTGAACAGTTATTGTTTTATCTACGATATTTATTGTTTTTTCTACGATTTATCAAATATATGTCCGAGTTATCATCACCTAATCTAACATTTTTAATATGTATCATGGAATAGTAACGTAGTATTTTTAATTTCTATGAAATTGGTACACAAAATGGCTGCCCCCGGGTCGGGTCATTTTTCAATCTAAGTACGTGTTCCATATAATGAGTGCAGTGGGACACGGGTGGCAATCACTTTTCCCAAATAGTATAAATTTCCAGTCTATGACGAGTTTCTTACTAGTGGCCGGGTTTTGTACTGGTGAGGACAGCAGTTCCTGAGCAGGTATTGGGCACTCCTTTTCGCATTTAAGCATTGTAAAATGTAAAATTCACTTTTTTGTAATTATAAAAATTGACATTTTTACAATTTTTTATGGTAATCAAGGTAAGATGCTTGATGTACAAAATTTGAATAAAACTATTCGTTTTGTATGGTTTTTTATATGTAATTCAATGTTGCACGAATAAAATATAATTGTTTCACGATAGTAGTGTTTACGTTCATCTCTAGAGCGCGTGACTTTTCATCAGCTGCATGGTGTCTATACCAGTTGATATTCGCACGGCGACCCTGTCACTTTTTCAGGCAAACAGAAAAATCCTGTAAGAACGACGCCACCGAATTTCATGGAACAAATAATTTGAGATCAGCTGGGTTGGAGGTAATATTTGCTTCATACGATTGTTTGGTGTATTAATCAATACATATTAGGGACATCGGCCACCGCCTTTGTAGACGTGTGACGCATTAACACTGTACGTGAGATATTGGAAGTGGAAACTTGAGCTGCAGTAAAAAGTAAAAACGTAGTTTTATATTTTTTAATTTCCATTTCCAGTGCCAACTATCATTCATTCTCTCTTGTCGTTGCCGGTAACCGGTACGTCGAGTCTCGACGTACTTTTGTCTTGTTTCCAGATTATAAGTTAATAGACACCAAATTCAGGTAAATATATTTAATATCAATAATATGTTGAACCAACTACTAGCAACGGTGTTTTTATTTCTGGAATAGGATTTAACAGTGGCGAAGCGTCATAGACAAAGAGACAATGTCTACCCACTTATAATACGGACAAAAATTTGGTTTTATTTTATGTGTATAAAAATGTTTTAACCAATTTTAATGTAAAAGTATATATTTTTTTAATAGTATTCTTAGAATAGAGTAGTTGTGGACGCGGATAAGCGGGCGGTCGCGTTGCCGGCCGCCGGGTCTATCCAAATTTAGTATAAAAATAAATGAGACAATTTCAAAATTGTCTCTTTTGCCGGGCGCGGTATGCAGGGTGAAATGGAAAACGGCGGGGGTTTATCGTTGCGCTATGAGACATGACTCACCGACCGCCGTTCATATTGTTATTGTTTTGGTAGACGGTATCAGTTATCCGTTGTCGATGTACGTCGTATCGATTGTCGTGTTGTACGTTTTCAAATATGCCTATGCCATTTAGTTTATTAGTTTTTGAACATTTATTTTTTACAGTATAGATAAAATAAATATACAGGGGGTCCAAGGGGGCGCAGTCCCCCTGTCAAGTCACGTAACACCATTTTTTTTCAATGTCTCCCCGATCTAAAGACCCATGCCTCGCCACTGGGATTTAAACTCAACAATATTATCATAATATTCTCTAGGTTCCTATAACAAGCGTATATAATAAAAAAGGCTTTCATTTGAAATTTAATGCCAAGTTTCACATTAATTATGTTAAAATAGGGTTACAATTGGACGTTTAAGAAACTACTTCAACTATTTAAAAACTATTTAGTCTTTAAAAAACGTTTTATTAACACAGCAATATTGTATACATGTGTATAAAGACAAATCAGTAGAAAATTGGATTAATTTATTTTTTATTTATTTGTTACTAACAAGGTACTGAAAGACAAGCATAACAGTTTTTACGGAAATTTGATATTTTTAATAGAAGAAAAAGTGGTTTTAGTGGATATCAGTAGTTGGCCATCAGTTGGTATTTATTTTTGATACAGGTACACGTTTTTAATTCCTATATTTACTTTTTTATATCAATTCCGATATTTTGTTTTTTTAAGAATCATGCGTACGTACTTGAGAAGAAAGCAATGGAAACAATTTGTAAGTAAAATTTTTCATAAATTATTATTTTATTGTACTAATATTAAGTGTATGGATTTATAATAGTATATATGTATTGAAATGTCTTGTTATTCAGCGAATATTTATTTTTGTAAGAGATAAAAGTATCTTTCTTACCTAATAAGTAATAACTTAAATTTTTTTATAAGAATATAAGACATGTTTAAATATAATTTATAAAATAAATAAATAATAAAATATATACTTATCAGGTTATGTTGTAAAATATATAATAAATATGTTTAATTATAAGTAGTTACTAGTATAATTTGAAGTTTGCCATCACCATGAGACAAAACTTTTGTCTGCCTAGCTAATAAAAACATTTTTATTTCTGTTAGAAAGATTAAGCATCTTCAACTTTAACTTTAAAAAATCACACCACATATATACGAGTTTAGCGACAAGAGATAAGAGATTACATATCGAAAAGAGGGAGAGGATAGGAAGGAAATTAGGAGTAGTGGAGAACTCATGTGAATGGTTCGCCTTAAAAAATAGAGTAGGTAGAGGTAAAAGGGGAGAATAGAAAGGAAATCACTCCCCTCTACTAATCCTTTATTGGTTGATCCATCTAGTCTATCCCTTCTCTCTTCTAGCATGTTTAAAGTGTTACGAAATTAAGGTAATAAATAGGCTAATAGGTTTTTTGACATAAATTTGCCTAATTTTCGTCTTCCAGCCTCCAAATACCATAAGACATATTCATGATACAATGTTTTTCCTTCAAGGAAATAACTAACGATTTTTTTATTGATTTATTTTTCCATTATTAAAAATTATCTAAATATCAACTGTAGCACTCTTTAATTCTTGTGACAAGTACACAAATTAAAACATGTATTTTTTGGGGTTTTTTTTTAATTTGCATTATGAATTAACACAAATTATTCTCTAGTAGTATTTACTATTTATTATTCTTTAAGATAATTAATCGGCAACGTACATTTAAATGGCAATTTTAATTTTACAGAAAAAAACGGTTCCGAAAAAAAAGTATAAAGAAATTTTGCCAATATTACAAAAATCAGTACGGCGGGCTCTACAATCAGATAATTGTCATATTGGAAAAATTACTTTTGAAGAGCAAGCCATGTATGGTGCTTCTTTAACGGGAAGTAAGATTGATCGGCTGTGGAGTGTTTTAGAAAAAGAGATCGTTAGTCATCTAGAACAGAAGGTAAGCTGTAAGTTGTAGATAGTTACATTACATTGATAAATTGATTTACAACATAATATGTAGCTATTTCCCGTAACCCTCAATACTATAACCTCAATAAATATATGTATACCATTAATAAGAAAGTTAATTATAATTTTTAGGTTAGACATGATATTTTAAAATCATTTCACAGCAATCAATTTCTAGAAATTCTTTATGCTTGCCACCAAAAGTATGATAACTCAATGATCCTGATAACAGAAATGCTTTGGTACGTTGGCCGTCATGAAGGAGATAGATGGAGTAATACGTTTAATGACTTGGCAAAACATTTATTTGAAAGCTTGGTAATAAATATATAAATATATATATATATATAGAGTTATTTGTATATAATTTAATATAATAATATAATTTTAATTAGATTATTAGTTTTATAAAAAGTCATCTGCGTACATCTCTTATGCACCAAGTAGAACTTTTAAGAATGAAAAATACATCAGAAGAAATTGAAAAAGATGAATCAATAGTTAAAAAAATTTCTCAAATGTTTATACATCTTGACTTTGATGGCTATAATAAGTTACGCAACACGTTTGAAGAGATTTTCAAAAAACCGTTGATTGAAATGGTTACTGAATCTACTAAGGTAAATGGATGGCATTTGAAGGGCACAGGGGAAGAAGGGTCGTAGTCCATGTATTAAAATTGTAGAGTATCATTCTATACATAAGATCAAAGAAATCACATTACGTACTATTCTACTAAAAAATGTATTTATTTAAACAACTATTGACATAAATAAAACTATTTCAAATATCCACACTACAAGCGGATATATAGGCACATGTATATGTCCTGATAATTATATGATTATTTTCGATCTATAATTTCCTTGCGATATATGATGATAGTATAGTCTTAATTATAAAATGTTCTGACCAAACGATTTTTAGAAGTTTTAAAATATCTGGCCTTAATCGATTTACTGGCTATATTTATCAATATTTAACATTTCTCATAAATCAATTTAGTGGTTCGCCAGTAAGTAAATGCCTAATTATTTACTAATAAATTCATTTGAATATCTTTATATATGTCGTTATATCCTTATATATATATATATATATATATATATATATATATACCCTAATATATCTTTATATGTCTTTATAACCTAATTAGAAGTACCTAATCTCTTATTTGTTATCTTAAATATCTTATCTCTAATCTATTATCTATATTCCCCTCTCCTTACTCCGCCGCTTCCAAAGTGTGACGTCAGAGTATGACATCCAGTGTTACGTTTTGGACAAATTTTTAGAATGACCATAAAACTTAACCTGTTAAAAAAATTAATGACATATTAGGTTGAAAAAAATAGTTTTCATAAATGAACTACTACCCTTTTTCCCCTATACGCTTCATTTATATGAAGGTGCCAGTAGTACATATATATTTTCCTATACATTTTCAAACTTCAAGTTTGGAAATGTCATAGGTACTAATAAATATAAATAATACATCAGTCAAGAAAACATACTTTTTTTTTTAAAAAATGGACGGAAAATAATAAATTTTTAATGCCAAAAAATGTAAATAAAATTAGCTTTATTAAGGGTTATTTACAGAAAATGAAAAGTTTTTCTTTTATTTATATTGTGAGTCTAATTTTATTAACATCATTTTCAACAGATATTAAGCAAACAATTGTTGTCACGAAAATGTGTTTCGTATTACATAAGAAAAGCAGAAGAAATTCTAATATATGAGACGGAAAGGGCTGACAGTTACCTTTACCATACGAACAAAAATGAATTAATTGAAAGCATTGAGAACGAACTTATAATAAGAAATATGATTCAATTAGTTGAAGTAATATTATTTATATCTCAAAATATACAACTCTATTTATATCTCTACTTAAAATTCAAAATTGTGTATTTTCTTTTGGTTTTTAAAAACCAACTAAAAATTATTTATTTAGTTTTGTGACTTATTCTAAATTTTTTAGAAACGAATTTCTGATGTATAATTTAACGAATTCTGGTAGAAGATTTAATACAAATATTAGGACCAAATTAAACGTATTATTAATTTCAAATGGGTTTAGCAAAAAAAAAAAAATAACTATAATAACAACATTTACTAGTTCTTGTTGCAAACAAAATTATGAATGATTAATGAAAATATTTAACATATTGGTTTAACAAAAAATGTAAATGTTATATAATTTTTAATATGACCAAATTAGGGATTTTTGTAATTATTGAAAGAAAAAAGTATTTTTTTACAAATGTTGGTATGTAACAATTTTGATTTTTAATGTATATGATATTTGCCGAAAGGGGGATAATGTTATAATTTGTTTTATTTGATTAACAATCATTATACATATCAACGGCATTATACTATACATGTCATAGAAGTAAATGTATGTAAAAAACATGTAGAATTCTACTTCTTGTAAAGCAGACCCATTCTTTAAGACCCAAATTTTAAGTCAAACAGCTTTAGACAGATTTCTGATTTCAGGGGAATTAATTTTCTCAAATTAAATGTCTTGGGTCTTGTTATCTTGCGTCCTCTCAAGATAACAAGCACTTGACTTACAACATTTACATAATTTTAATTCTTGAAAAATATACCGTTTTTTTTTTTTTAGATGGACACCGGTGTGGTTTTTATGATAACAAACAACAATAAAGATGACTTAGCATGCATGTACAGACTATTTGATCGTGTTCCCGATGGCTTACACGTATTGTGTACGTGGGTAAGTCAAACTTTACGTAAACTTGGCAGAAGTCTTGTCGAAGAAGAAAGAGAAGTGGATACTACAAATGTTGTTCATTTGATGAAGGTTAAGTATTAAAATCAGCAAACAAAACTATTTAAATGTCTCGTCATTTTTTTTATATATATTTTTTTTTTTATAGAATTTGGTGGATCTAAAAAAGAAATTTTTTATTTTGTTAACTAAATCATTTAATAACGACAAGATGTTTCGAAGAGAAATGAATGCAGCTATTGATTATATCTTTAATTTGAATGACAACTTACATGGGGTTATCTTAAATTATTTTCATGATATTATGGATATGGAACGACCTATGGTAAACAAATTCAGAACCATTAGTTACGAGTTATGATATAGTAGATTTTTTATTATTTTTAATGATAAATTATCTTAGTTTTCCTGGCCATGACGCCACATTGTCTGATCATTTGTAAATAAGAATGGGGTTATCTCAATTGGACAATTTATTAAATAAAAATGTTTTATTTACTGAATTTTTCAGTCAGATAATTTTGAGTTAGATAAGCTAATACTATATTTGGCTAAACTACGTCAAGAAAGAGGCAGTGTACTCGAGAAACTTTATCTAGATTATTTGAGGAAGAAGTTATCTGGTGGTAATATATTTGCCCCTAAATATGCTGTTACAATAAAGCGAGAGTTTTTTAAGGTAAGAATTCATCCTTTTTAATCACTAATAATTTAATTTTGAAGCATCTGAAATGTTTGACAAAACACTCTTTGTTATTTAATGTTTAACCCATCCACTTGTCTTCTCCAGCTGTGCTTTAATGTAAAAATTAGTCTTGTGCGAACAAGCTTAAGATGAAATGGATGGGTTAAACACATTGCATTGAAATATCTGTAATATATTAAGTGTATATTTATATTATTTTTATGTTATTGAAGTATTACTTTTTTGTAATTATTTACCTTTATGTAGATTTAAAAGGTACATTTCTGTGTATATTTTTTACAGCAAAATTTTAGTGATGACTTCATGTTAGAATTTACCAAGATAGTATCTCTTTCATGGGACGATATAGCAGCAGACGGAAAAGATATATCAGTATGTATTGTCTGAAAAATGGTATTAAATATTCTAAATACATTATCGTTTTATGACCGTGGCCTACAAATCTATTTTTAATTTTTGATATTAAATAATCTAAAAATGGTAAGTATAAGGTCAAGAAATTGAAGAATTACATTTGCATCATGCCGTTTAATACAGCGTGTTTCACATACAGATTTAAGTCTACATGATTTAGAATTTGGTAACATTTTCATTAATGGTATTCGTTTTTTTAAAATTTAAAAATCATTTAAAGTAGAACTCGTATCTCATTAAATAATAATTGTCTTACGAAAAAAATGTCAAATTTGAAATCGGGAGAAAAAATCTTGTTGAATTGATATGTAACATGATTTTTTGGTATCTGGTTGGCCACACATACGTCCCCAGGGTGGCCACCTAGTGGCCATTGAGTGGCCGGCATGTGACCAAAACTAACAAATGACATGTAACACATCATTTTGGGTTTGAATTTTATATTCAATTCAGTGGTGTCCTTAAAATTCTATTGTAGTAAATGATGTTCGTAAATAATGTATGCGTTGCCATTTAAGTTTTAGAAGTTGCTCTTAACAAAGCGTGGGGAGCGGTGAAAAAAAATTGTGAACATTTTAGATCACATTTTATGAAAACAATATGAAAAAAAAAATTGAGCTATTGAGGATTTACGAGATAATCATCACCCTGTAGTTTTATTTAAATTTAATGACTTCGATGAAATATTATTTTACATTCATAACCTCGCAAATGATTCAATCAAGTATTAAAAATTTATTTTACATAAAATGGTTGAGAGATAACTGAAGGACCCACGTTTTATCTACTTATTAAAACCGAAATACATTTTACAAAAATTTGTTTTACTAAATTATGATGAACATATAAGTTTAGGATAGAATATCGTTATTTTATTAATTATAGGATTTCTTACTTGCTGATTTTATCATTTTTTCAGATTGATTGTAGAAAGCTCGAGGACCTCTAAAACATCTAAACTAATGAAGTTGTATCTCCAGATGTCCAGTGAATACAATAATTTTTTTCTACGTCTCATTAACTAATATTTTAAAGATTTTGAACAAAATATTATAATATACTAGTTAATTAATTAATTATTAGTAATTAAAATAATTCTAATTTAAACTTTATTTATATTTGATACTATTTATTACTCTCTCATAAGTTTTTTATTTACGAAACTTCATTACTTGACTTTTATCGTTTTATCTTTATTATTAAAAAAACATGTATACAAACATATAAATTAAACTTTTTATTTAAATTTAATTGTGTTAATAATCATTATTGTGTAAACGTTGTCGCGATTGGTAGTTGACAATGTTTGAATATCATAAAATACTAGTTAATTATTTATTATTCGTAGTAATTTAACTATTTTTATCTTGAAATTTGTTCGTATTAGATACTATTTATTACTCACTCGTAAGTTTTTCATTTACGAAACTTCATTACTTATCTTTTATGGTCTTATTTTTAATATTTACGAAAAAAATGTATAAAAGCATATATTAACTTATATTACTTTTTTTTAATATTTATTAGTGTTAATAAATAATAATCATTATTGTGTCAACGTTTTTGCTATTGGTGGTTGACAATGCCTGAGTATCAAGCATTAAAAATTGGCTTTAAATACATTTAATGTACTTTTTTTTTTTTAATGTGTGTATAATTTTAGATAACTTTATTAGATTATATACCTAAGTAATAATAATTATTTAATTGTAAAAACTTAATTAATTATATTTTAGGTTTATTACTACGTTAGAAACAAAGTTAGGGTTGAGATGTTTTTTTGTCCGAAAGCAAAATAATGTTTTTAGATAATTGCTTTTTGTTTAATATGTCAACCAAATAAGTTGAAGATGATGTTCCAGGTTACATTGGTTAGAGTAGGAGAAAGAATAAGTTTTATTCCCAACCATGTACTAAATTGTTGACTTGTTTATACGTTTCTAACAGATAAATTATAATCCAATATTATATTATACATATATTTAAAATTACTTTGTAGAAGTTTAATAAACGCTTTTGAAATCACAAGGAGTTATGTATTGTATGAGGTCTTTTGAACAAACTTGTTTGCAATTATTACACTAACTTGTAAGTTAATCGACTGCATGAATTCAAACTTAGAAGCCTTGTTTGTTTATATTATTGTAATCATGAGTTAAAATTTAGGGCGTTTCTTGTCTATTTAAATTTGTTTTTATTTTATTAAACGTGTGTCGTTTATTTATAGTTTTATATTTCAGGTTCTTCAGTGTTAAATCCCTAAAACTATCAGAATATTTGTAACGTCATGATGTGTTATACCTATTGTAATGTTATTATACCAGGGTTATGATTGATTTCGTTATTGTAATTAATATTTCGTTTAACACGACAGAATTATTATTAAAAATTTATAAAAATAATAAGAATCAATAAATAACATAATATCTAAAACAGTCATGACCGTCCTATAAAATATCTATTAATTTAATAGTTATGTTATAAATAACTAGCTGTGTTGCCCAGCTGTTATCCGGCAATGTTATTATCATCATTGTTATTATAGTAAATGTACTGACGTAAAAAAATCCGACTATGGAATAAAGTTTTCCATAAAAAATGAACACTGGAAGAGTCTGAATTGGGAGTATTGGTTTTCTAAAAATGCATTGATATTATAATGTCATTAAAAGCACATCTAGGTACTTTTTTTTACAATTTTTAATCTAAGGAGGCTAAATTCTTATTTAGATAAAATTATCGTTACGCAGACCTGTTATACAACTTGAAGATTGTAATAATTCTGTACGTTGACGGAATTTTGAAATTGTATTTATTAACAAAGCTATAGCTAAGTTAGGCTTTTATTTATTAAATATTTTTTCAATTTATTAGAAACCCGACAACCTTATCTCTATTAAATCACCTCCATAATCCCTCCATTATTCTCCTCCATACTCCCTACATAATCTTCCTCCATTCTCTCTCCTTAACTATCTTTCATACTCCCTCCATAATTCTTATATCTTGTATACCGTGGTTACCATAGTTACAAACCAATTTTTTATTTTGGGTTAGCAACCAAAAATTACAAAATTCGTGTTTGAATTTTCAAAAGTTACTATGTCAGAAACCTTTGATGGAGTGTACTCATTAACTTCCCAAAGTTTCATGGTGATAGGATGAATGGTGTAGTAATGCATAAAGGACAAACAGACATGCATTCGTTTTAATATATATAGATAGATGTATAGATAATATTAAAAATAATATATTCGCAATATTGTCCAAATGTTTTTTTTTATGTAATTAATTGGCCGCAAATCAAATATAATAACAAAAAGTTTTATACAATTTATTTAAAACATTTAAATAAAATAAAATATTATTTTATAAAAATTGTCTACCAAACCAGAAAAAAACGTAATAATTAAAACGATACTCAAAAATTGAATAGTACTTCGCTTGAACCGTTGTAGGCAATGTATTATAGTTAAGCGTTGTTTTAATGTATTTAAGGGAAAACGGAAAGGCTATTTGTTAAGGGGCAAAGGAAAGGTACAACAATTTATCTAAATAGTAATCTTATTAAATATGCGACTAATTTTAAAGTAAGAAAAATTTTAATTTTTACATTATTTATATAACTTGCCGTTACACCTATTTCAGTAGTTTGACTAGTCAAACTACTCAAGGGGGAGTAACCGAATATTATGTAAATAGTGTAAATACAGTACCCCACTAAAATTTTAATATTAAGTTTTCTAGTTATAGAGTTTTTAATGTTACTTTTCTTCGCAATATGGCGAAAGTTTAATAAAAAATTAATTTTGTGGAAGTCATTTTCTGGCGTATTTATTGGACGGATATCGGTATTTATATTTTTTATGTGAAGCTACTATTTTCTCTATGGGGGCTAAAACACCTATTTTTGATTAATCTATTAGACAATTAGTTAGATTTATTGGAAAAAAGTAAAAATATAAACGATTAAATAAAAATTATAAAAAAAAAAATAATAATCGGTCTTTTAGCCGGCACAAAAATTATGTTAAAATCTGTTCGGTAGACACTTCAGAAAGCGACTTTGCGTTTTATTATTTCTTTGTATAAAATTAGGCGCTTTTCGTTCTCTTTACCGACAACATGTAGGTTTGGCTTACTTAGAATATAAGCAAGTATTGATTTAGTTTAAATTCGGTGATAAACGTGTAAACTGTAACCAACCAAACCACTTTAAAGAAAACATTTCGATAAAGAAACTCGAATTAGTTGCCTTCTGCGCGGACCAAGAGTGTTCTAATAATATGAACTAATTGGTCAGTTTTGAGTGGCTGAGATATATATTATATATATATATATATATGCGGTCGTAGGTCGTTAATAGAGTTTTATGCGTCTTACTAGGCTTTTGCGTTACCTACGACGCAAGTTTATTTATAATGGCAATAGTACAGGGAAATCGGTGCCAGAACATCTAAAACATGCTCTACATAAAAAAAGGAACATGACTCGTATAATGATCAGATGTAAATTAAAAAAATTATAAGTTTTTTAAAATATTTTAGTCTACTGCCGATTTTGAAAATGACTATTTTCGACGCTACAACTATATTGTAAGAATAACGCTTTATAATACTAATTATCTTATTTTCTAAAATTACCTTTTCTGCGTTTAAATGTTGTTTTTACTTTAAATCGGTGATCGTAGAGACTAAAAAATTAAGTAAATTTAGTTACTATTGCATCATGACTAAAAGATTATCCTGAGGGTTCTTCTGAAACTTTAGAAATGATTTCTTTAATAAAAACATTGCCGATATCACCCACCTCAAATGAAAGATTTTTTTCATCCCTCAAAAGTGTTAAAACATATTTACTATAGAAGACGAAAGATTGAGTGATCTGATGGTTATTGCAACTGAGAAGAAAGAATCAAGTAGTATTGATTTACAAGAGGCGGTAAATGCATTCGCAAATATAAAAACCGGTCGATATCCGTTTATTTAAATTTTAAAATAATTAATAATATTGTATAATAATTAATAAGTATTTCTTTTATACCTTATTTGCATTCTTTTAAATAAGAGCGAAATGGTTTCAGCTGGTTGCTTTAGTTATACTATATATATATATATATATATATATATATATTATAAAATTGGCCTACCTCAAAGTTCGCACACCCTGAAAAAAAACTGAAATGACGCCCCTGCTTTTAAGCTAGTTGACATAGTGAAGTACCTTTAAGGGGGGGGGGGGTATGGTTAATTCGTGCAAAAAACGGCAAATTTTTGTGAAAGTTTTTTGACGACACAGATAAAATCTGTTTATTAAAACTAATGGTACATTAAAGTATAACATTCGAAGAATATTGTGTAATATTTTCATGTAGAAATATTAAAAAATACGGCAATGGCGGCAATTATTCGGAAGCGTCTCGGAAAAAAGTAGAATTGCGGTGCCCCTCATAACTCGATGCTGGAACATCCGAAATTAAAAAAATCAAGTTCTTTCGTTAGATAATTGCTTTCTCCGGGTAACGCTGGGAGGGTTTTTTAAAATTTCAATTTTTCACTTTTTGGGAACACTTTGAAGGGAAAAACGCGATTTTTGCGAAAAAAATCGGCTAATTTGTTATTGTAAAATAAAAAATATTAACAAATTTGAAAAAAAACTCTCCAGCGTTACCTCGTTAGTTATGTACTGAAATAGTGTTCAAAATTTCAAAAGGACCGGTTTAGTAGTTTTGAAGTTATGGTGGTCACCGACTTTGAAAACGTGAGTTGTGGGAAAAACGCTTTAAAGTTAACGATAGTGCGCTCGGGCCGGGCAGCTATAAAATTCCGACAACTCATAACGTCGTCAATTTTGTTCCGATCGACTTGAAATTTTGACACAATATTCTTGAAATATTATGCATTCGGTTAACAAAAAAAATTAAAAAAAAATATTTATACCCCCCCCCCCCTTAAGAATAATTGAAATTATTAAAAAATCGTTTTACCCCCTCACCTTTAATGAGATTTAATTGTTTTTTAGTTTTATTTTCGAGTGCA